TTTATTCAATGATGCGATTCTTTACCAAACTCTACGATCGAACTCGCATTACAAAAATTGTATTGCAGACAGTAAGGAAAACAACTAATGAGATCTGGGGGAGTGAAGGGATTAAAATTTTTCTAATAGTATGGTAAATGGATAAGTATAGGCACTTATGCCCTGAAAACAGTTCGTCTGAACAAAAATGTTCTGATAAGTGAACAAGAGGAATTGTCAGTGAGAAAACTTGCTTATTTAGATGTGATGATACAATCTATTTTTCGAGGCATGTGTCACTCGATGCGCCAAAAAAACAGTCAGAAATTGAAAATATATATATGTAATAAAACTGTAGTTTAAAGCAAATGTTACCGTAGGTTTTCTAGTATTCAATTCAAACTCGTGTTTTGCACCTGAGCTCAATTAATGATCCCTCTTAGACTCCGTTATCCTCTAAATCTTCTCTCTTTCCCCACCTGCCAACTCCCAAAGGTATCAAATTGCCATCAGTGGTCAATCGTAAAATCGGCCCGTCGAGAAAGGTCACACTGACATTATTTCGTAACAAATTCCAGCAGGGAACCTTTTTCGAGGGTTTCCTATTCTTAGCTGAGAGTCTTATCCTCAAAATTAATGCCAGACCTTCGTTAGACCTCTCCCCGACTCGTTTCAAATCTTCCCGTCCTGCCGCGCAAATAATAGAGCTCACTCGCAGGTTATATTCGAAATCTGAGAGGAGAGGTTTGGATGTGTCAGTGCAAATTAAGCGCATAATCTTGTTACTCGCTTAAAGGGCCACTCTCAACCAGTATGCACTGTCTTTGGTTCTTTTCTACAGACAGAAAACGTCGTCTGAGTACCTCTTCCAAAGCAGCGATTTAGTTGTGCACTGGGTGTTATACTCTTTTTCTATCTTTGCCATGAAAATATTGACAAAAGCTACTGCTGTTGTGGTATTCTTTGCCGTTTCCGTTCGGTGTCTGAGAAAACAGTATCGAGTTCCCGGATAATAACAATAACAACGGCGCGCAAAGCACACTGGTTTAGTGTCGCATACACAAGCTCCGATGGAACGCATTCACAATAACTGTTCTATTCTTAAAATCATAAAACAATGTATCGCACCGCATAATTCACTTTCCTTATCGTTAAAGTGCATATGACACGAAACTTTTTTCTCTTATTTCTTGTAGTTGGGTATCTATAGAAAACGTTTCGAAGCTTTAAAAGAGCTGAAAAAATGTAAAAAGCATTTTTTTTTTTTTTTTTTTTGCTTTCAAAATACGCGCAATTTGCCTTCAAATTTGTCCCGGAGACTGGGACCAAGTTTATCGCCGTAGAAGTTATTCATGACGTCACATTGTGTACCTTTGCCGCGAAGGTCTGTTGTCGCTAAGAGGATTCTGCAGTACTTCGTAGTAGATAGATAGTGCATTGAAAGGCAAAGATGTCCAGTGATTCTAATGATTCCTTTGAGTCCGACTCTTCTGAGAGTTTCATTGACTTCGAAGAATCTGGGTACACAATGTGACGTCACGTGCGATTTTGGCCGCGCGATGACCGGGACAAATTTGAAGGCAAATTGCGCGTATTTTGAAAGCAAAAACAATGCTTTTTAGACTTTTCCAGCACCTTTAAGGCTTCGAAACGTTTTCTATAGATATCCAACTACAAGAAACAAGAGCAAAAAATTTCGTGTTATATGCACTCTAAAAGATGAGAAATATAATTTTTCAATCATGCTTTGTCTGTAACATTCCTCTGAAAGAGATAGCAGCTGGGTTATCAGTATGAGGGCTGACCCGAGTGTTTTCTTTGTTAAGTAAAGTAAGGTCTAAGCACTCTAAACAACAGACGTGTTTAGTTACAATCATTATGATAAGGTTGAGATCGGACGTCAGCATTTATCAGGCGCCTCTGGCAGGCGCTTCATTCCCGCCCATCTCACCCCTGGGGAGGACATCCACCACACAGTAATCTTGTGCGTGGGAAATTAACGTCTCCTACCCTTAACCCTGCAGGAAATGGGGCCTACGGTTTATTCGTCCTTATCCGAGAAGACTAGAATATCTATCCATTTCTTGATTATAAAGTAGGGTAGCAAATTCTCCTCACTTATTTTAAGACCATGAGTATTGGTCCGGGCCTGTGCTCGAACCCTTGACCTCCCGCACAACACAATCCGGCGCTTTAACCAATTGAGCTAAACCTGACTGTCACTACGTGTCGTCATCCATTGACTATTTTCCAAGATTCTGGCACACAAGTCACTCTTCAAAGGAAAATCCATAGGGAAAATTCTTCCGAATCGACAGGACTATTCCTTTGAAAGTCTCGCTCATTTGCCGGGGAAGAAAGATGAAATTGCATCGCTTACTGATTGCTCTTTTATCACTCTGTATTCCTATTTCTGGTGAGTTATTAGCGGTATATCTAAGATGTTGGTGAATCTGCAGAAGTACACACAAAAATTGACAGCAATCGGGCATTAATCACAGCTCAGCTGAATATTTTTTAACCCGTTATCTAGGAGTGTCTATTCAACTCAGTCTTGGAATAAAACTGAGACGCTTGATTGCCCTTTTCTTAGGAAGGAACACTTTGGGAATTTAAAAGGAGAGCTCCCCACTGACCTAACCAGCATTTATTTATATTATTCTTCACTTTACACAGCGACTTCTCCAAGGATTTTATACGCTAACCGGAGAGACATACGAATAGTGCGACCGAGTCCAAAGAACCACAATGAAACTATTGTGGTTGCTGGTCTTTTAGATGCTATCGCTGTGGATTTCAGCTACGAAGATGGATACATATTTTGGACCGATGTTAGTGTTAAGAAAATCAAACGAATTCGCATGACGGGACGTCCTAACTCAAGAAAAGTTGAGGATGTCGTATCGGTTGGTTTGAGAAACCCCGAAGGATTAGCCGTAGATTGGGTAGGAAAAAAGTTGTATTGGACAGATTGTAGAGCTGATGACTGGGAAACGAACAGAATCGAAGTTGCAAATTTTGATGGATCTTATCGTAAACTTCTTTTCTGGACGGACTTGGCTCTTCCAAGAGCGATTGCAGTGGATCCACTTAAAGGGTAAGGTTAGTTGATGCTATCTTCCATGATTTTCGAAGCCTAGATTTCTGCTTGTGAACGAGGACGGAGGGTCCCATTATTACGTGTGTTGTGATTTGAATTTTTCATTTATTCGTGAATCGTGATTAAAGATAGAAAGATCTTTTCATGTCCACACGTGAACTAGTTTTTTTTTTTTTAATTTAAATGTGTCCCGTGAATTAAGAGCTGAAACCATTTCGTTTCGTGCGATGAATTTCCGGCTATTTTATTGTTTTTAAAATGTACCTATTGTTCTCGAACGGCTGTGGTGAGGTGTTGACAGGAGAATGACTTTCTGTGGATCGATTTCATAAAGGTCGCAAAGCAGACCACTACTGGTTCTTGAACAACTAAGATGATACATTACACCATCTTTTGTCGCGTAATACTGGTTAAGACTAGAAAAGTAAGATAGTAATTTAAGGTGTTTGTCTCGAATTTCGCGTGAATGTAAGTGAGTTTTGGATACTATTCGTGATGCGAAAAAAGGGTAAAGACGACCCTCAAAACGTACAGCAAAGATCGTGGGCGCGCGAACAACTTGCTTACTGAGGTACCTGGAACTGGGTTCACCAATTCCAGCGTTCATTTGGACGCCACTTGTTTGTTAGACAGAACGTTTATTGGCCCTATGGCCTTACAGCAGACTACAGTACTGAGAAATGTACTGGACAGAAGGTGAATTTTTTTTCAGCTAAAGCTAGTTATCATGGTTCAAGCCTGGATAGGATTTTTAAAAGTTTAATTCCTTACAGCCTGATTAATCAAAATCATCCATTTGCCAAGACATTGTATGAAAACAGAATTTATTGGACAGATCAGACTCAAAAGGGATACATGATGGAGGTCTCTCTTTCCTTAATGGGAATTAAGTGTATAAATCCTAAACTATTAAGTACTAGTATACTAGTTATTGATTATATTTATTATTGCTTACATTTTGCCCTAAAAACTTTATCACCCTTGCGCATAAAACAGAACAGGTTCGTGTATTTGCAAATGAATTTTATTGACAAGTATATTTTTGCGTAAATTAGTAAAAAACTTGTTTAATGCGACTAAAACAAAATGCTGTTTACTGTAGTGATCCTCGTCACCATTGTAGTACACCGCGGTTAAGCTGAAAACCGTTTATTCACGTCCGTTACACACTTACTCTTAACCAAAAAAAAAACTAATATAATAAATTGAATACCGTACACGCTATATATGTACAAGCAAATCCGTAGCTCCCGAGTGTATTACATCACTTGCATTCGTTTCCACACGTGGGCATCACTGTACACAACACTCCCTCCTTTCCTAAATGTTCAACATACAGATCGAAGTCTTTAAATTAAACTAGTCAAAGGTAAAAAGTTCGAGATATCCAGTTCAAAGTCCTTACATGGCTTTATAACGATCAGGTGGTCTTACAGTCCGGGTCGACCTCCGAACAGGCCTTCCCATTCCGATATTTTCCTTATAGGGGAAACGCCTAGGGTGTACTTGAGAATTTTCAGATACCTCAGACGTACCTGGAATTTCTTTTGGCGTAGGTATGACTGTCTTCTCTGGAAATTTTCTTGCCCCTTGCCCAGCTACCTGTACTGCAGACCCTGCCTGCACCCCTTGGTCTTCGTTGCCATTGGATACATCTCTGTGCTCGTTGTGCCTCATTAAAAACACAGTTTTCCTTTCCATTTCAACCCCAGCCTCGTTCCTAAGTTTTACCTCTGACCCTGTCTTATGAACAACCTTTCAAAAGGATCAGGGTTAGTATCGCGATCTTCTTATAGTTTTGGCTGTGCGCGAGCTGTCAATATTTCGTGGTCTTGTCGTCTCACTTTTGCGGCCTGTGATTGGTTCTAATTTTGAAATTGACGTCGTTGCACTAAATTGGGTTGCTGACGTACACAAATTACCGCCACATTTAAATGATTGTACATTTATTTCACTTCAAGTTCAACAGTATTTATTGAAAATTCGACTTTTACAGTCATAAACATTGTAATAATGTGACAAAGTCACTTGCCAGTTGGAAAATGAATGTTAATCTGGCAAGAATTCAAAATGTTATTATTAAACAAACTGTCAGTAGGTGGCTTGAATTAGTTTTGTTGATACTTGACAACACGAGCTTCTTACCATATCGATCGCTGTACCAGGCCCCAACACAGGTGGGGCAATTATTAAAGAGTTTGTATAGTGGTTTAGTTGGACTTACTTTTGAGCTCCGAAAATGTAAAGTTGTGTGAAATAATCAAAGAAATAAAGTCTTACCTTCATAGAGAGTAGTCTGTGTTGTTCTCCTCGCGATTTGAGGCCGTTTTGATGTGATTTAGGTTGACGCCCTGAATCACCGTGCACAAAATACGGGAAGGTCGGAAACTTCTATTGACACATCCTCGCCAAAATCGACCGTAAACAACACTTAAATACTTTCCCTCGAGTCAAAACTTGGCAGCACGAATGCCAAATAGTTGCCCTTTAAGTTCACCGAAAAAAATTCCACAAAAGATGGTTTGTCGAGCAACCAATCCAGCGAGTATTTCAAATTAACGGCCGTTCTGAATTCTTCTAGTTCGTGGAAGGAACTTATTGTGCAGCTGAGAGACCGTTAATGCGCGGTCAACCTGGACCCTAGTCAAATCTCTCTCAACGGGTCCTCCCCATAATCTTCTAGCACCAACTCTTCACACCTACTAAGGAACCCCGGGTAAGAGGATATTTGTAAAAATCCATTGAAAACAGTGAAGACGGACAGTATCGACGATCTAGTCAAGTCGATGAGTTTACTCTCTCCTGTGGGTAGGGGTCCTAACTGATCTACTCTACAGTTCTGCCAAGGAGCACTTGGAGGAAAAACGCGCGACATCGGCTTGGGGGGAGGGTGCGGCCAAATCCAGAAGTGACCTGGCAGCCATGACAAACTCTACAAAACTTCTAAACGTTCTTGTCCATTTCCGGCCATCAAACTCGGAGTAGAACCCCCTTCAGCTTGGGGCCAGGTCCACAAGTCACAAGGTTTGCCTCTCGCCCCAGTTTTCCGCGTCCACACCCCGACCAAATCAACCAGCACCCCTGCTACCCCCACCATGTCCACCTCTGCTATTCCTCGTTCTTTTGGATCCCGACTGGGCACCGCCTCGCTGACAGAGTTGAGGGCATTTAACTTTGAAATGGCCTACCGTACTTGCAGGAGATAGAAACTAAGATAAAGAAGACGATTTTCGGAGAAGTAAAGGTTGCTTCACTTCACATCTAAAAGAAATATTCAAACGATATGAAATCTTGCGATGGCGAAAAAAAAAAGAACTCAAGTGAAGGATGATCTACCTGAAGTGGAAGAAGACTTTGAAACTTAAAGGAAAATAATATAATACAGCCAGAAGTCGTGTGTAGGATTTTTAAGGTAAGCCCGGGAGGCTGTCTTTGACAGCTGTTTAAAGATTTTCTTAGCAGTAAACGATTGTAAACATCAGATTGTAGGCGCTCGCGCGAGCACACGCATTTTGTCAGCGGTAGCTATAACAGATCATGAGCAAATGTCGATCTTATAGAATCCAGACTTTTAAATGCGCGAGAACGCGCGTGGAAATTGCTAAACTCACGAAAGCTATTGCATGAAAACAAGTCCGGTGACCCCTTGTTTTTATTGTTCCAATATGATAATAACGTGGAAAGGAATCATCAGAAAAAAAATAGAAAATTCTACGGAAGGAAATTTGCGATGTGTGAAAATTGCCTTTTTTCTAGATTTTCTGAAATTCCGCTCCGTATAGTTTTTTTTAAATCTTTGTGTATTTTCCTTTTCAAGTGCTGAATGCAATCACTGAAAAAAATCATAGGGTCACCGGGTTAGTTTTCGAATTATTTAAGCCACAAGCTCAAAAATGCGTCTGAATAAGCCTCTGAAAGCGTTGCCATGGAAACTGCTAGTGACGAAATGACACCTATTTTTGGATAACCAATAATTATATAATTCAACCCCGTAAAAGTGTTCAACTGGCCTTGGTCAGTGTTTCTGTTGTATTCTTTCAAAGTTACAAACCATCAAAAAGATGAAAACCGGTACGAGCCACCTTAAGTGTCCTTCCTGTCCGCAACTAAAGCAAGTCTTCAACTTCCTGGGATTCTTGTTCCCATCCACTTTTCCGCTCACTGCATTGACCTGGTCTACCTGATCCGTGTTGTATTGCTTCAGTTGTCGATCAACTGCTTCTTGGGATCTCGCAACCTGTAACAAGTAATAATTTGGATATATCAACAAAGTTGAAATGGTAAATTGGCCACCGTAATGATTACAAAAGTTGACGTTTTGAGCGTTAGCCCTTCGTCGGAGCGAAGTAAACCAACGTAACAAGTAAACCAACGTAACGGCAGGAGTAACACTTGTCTATGAGTTGATCTCGGATGTAGTCGTCCTCGTTGTCGCCAAACTCACAAGTCGCTGCTCGCTGACGCAATCTACACACAAACTGGTTCACAGTTTCTCCGCTCTCCTGCGAATATGTCTAAACAAATGTCAAAAGGAACGTTCGACTTGGGAACAAAATAATTGTCAAGTATCTGAAATGTTGCCTCAAAACTCATATTCTCGCCATCACCGGCTAACGTGAAATAAATTTCTTGAACGTCCATACCGGCAACGTGCCATAGAAGAGCTCGCTTTTGAGCGTCGCTCGAAACACCTTTTCCCGTCACGTACAAATTAAACGCTCGCTGCCATCTCTTCCACCGCCGACTTGAATTGTGTGCCTCTCTCTTCGGATTAAATGGTCCCAATCCACTGACATCTAAAGCAACCGAAGTCTTTCCAGAACCATTAACAGAACCGCCAACAGCACCCCTAACACCACCGCCTGTTGCGTCAGTTTCGCCTGGTCCACCGCGTCCCGGCATCTCTGAAATAAATCCCTGGCGAAATAATTTACGAAATCCCGGACTAAACTCCTGAAACCCTCGACGAAACCTCAAAATGCCCAAAATCCTCATCGCCAATGTAGTACACCGTGGTTAAGTTGAAAATCATTTATTCACGTCCATTACACAATTACTCTTAACCGAAAAGGAACTACTACAATAAATAAAATGCACGCTGTATATATCTGTAGGTCTCGAGTGTATTACATCACTTGCATTCGTTTCCACGCGTGAGCATCACTATATACTACAGTTACCTCTGTGGAGACGGTAGTTTTATTTAAAGGGAAAGTGTGGTCTAGTAAAAGCTTACTTATATCAAAAGTTCCTTACTTGCATTGTCCTAACTGGCTATTCATTTGAGCTAAAAGCGTTTCAGTTGCGAACAATTACGTTCCAAATATCGACATTTTCAAATTGAAAACCGCTATCTTGGTTATGACGTAGCAATGGTCAAGCATTCTCATTTAAATCCCTGCTGAGATGGATGTAAACAATGAAAACAGCCGCGAGGAGAGCGATACTGATTAAGTTATCGACTTGGATTTGAATTCTACCAAGTGGGTGTAATACATCCATTCATTTTTCAAACGAAACATGGCTCGTCGTCAGGGAAAGAAGATATCGCTGTTGAGGAGAAAGGCAGAAAAATGAGTTTCAAGAAGAAACGTCGACCCGCTCAGTCTCTCACGTCTTGGAAATAGTGAGTGGTTTTCTTGAGGCAACTGTCAGGGGAAACAGCTAAATTGCCGGCTAAATTTTTTTTATATTTCACTTTCCGGAAGCTTGTGGAGGCTTACGCCTTTTCCTTTTGAATTTTAGTATGTATTTTGAAATTCAATCACAAGACAGTTCTGCAGAGTTCAACTATTGGAAATTGTTCTCCCAAAGGTCAAACAGGTCAACAAAGAAAAAGCGTCAAACAATGTCATAACCAACATCATATCCAAGATGGCGTATTTCTAACCACGAAAGTTGTAAATAAGGGCAACTTCAAAGCGCTCTTGTTGCCAATGCAAGGCAAACTGAACAAAATGGCGGTTATTTTCGAACTCCTGAGGATAAAGTCTTCTAATTGAGATAAACTTTTCCTAGACCGTAATTTCCCTTTAAGTTCAAATGTTACCTATAACTATTTAAGCTAGGATGTTAACTGATCCATTCGAAGTTAATTCCCAAACCGAATAAATATGTCTTATGAGACGTTTTATTGTGTAGTATCGCTGAGTATTTTTACGAGTTTTTCCGTATTTTGACGAGCCCGTAAGGCGAGTCAAAATACAAACAACAAGTCTAATAAGAGATTTGTTATCCAACACGCCAAATTGTTATTTCAGTGCGGGCGAATTTTGCGGATATTTCTGGAGTACTAATATCGCGTGATATTTGTACTCGTCTCGCGCGTTATTTGTACTTCACGAAGCACAGTTGAATTATAAATATGAATATCAATAAACAAATATCAATAGATATGAATATTAGTGTTAAACTAATATTGAATATTAAAGAAACAAAATAATTTAATTTAATCGAATATCAAAGAAAACTAAGAAATACTAAAGAAATATTAATAAGTAACTATTTATAAATATAAATATTAGATATTAAATCATTATCGAATATTGTCATCCAGGGAGGGACAAAACAATTTGATAATTCCAGATTTTACGACTCTCTAAAGTCTACCTCCACCTAATGACATAGGCGTTGCTTGCTAGAATAACTAGGTTTCCGATAATTTTTTTTCCGATTATCATTCCAGGTTTATGTTTTGGACAGACTGGGGAGAACAACCCAAGATAGAGCGAGCCGAAATGGATGGCTCTAATCGTCGGATAATTGTCAGACAGAACATTCATTGGCCCAATGGGCTAACAATAGACTACAATGCGCAGAAAATTTACTGGACAGATGCAAAATTATTTTACATCGCAAGAGCTAAGTATGATGGTTCAAACCGAGAGAGAATCTTTAAAACTCCAAATCAATGTATTATGGCAAATCAGGCTCATCCATTTGCTTTGACATTATATGAAAACAAAATTTATTGGACAGATTGGAATTCTAAAGGGATACATGCTACAATTAAAAACAATGGTATGCGGTGTCAAATGGTCTGGTCAAGTTCCAATTCACCCATGGATATACATGCATATGAACCAAAAAGACAGTTGCAGAGGCCAGGTAAGTATTAAATCGCTAAGTTTAGAAACTTTAACTGAGTGCCAAAAAACCAAAACTGAAATATTCACAGTGACTAATCAGAACTGAGGTGAGAAGGAGCCAATGACAACTCAAAGTAAAAACAACCAAATTTAAACTGTCCTAAACCGCGGGAAAACGATGGCGACCACATCGTGATTAGGCTCAGTTTTGCATCTGATTGGTTACGTGAGTGGCGTGAGTTTTCTGGGCCAATCACAGAACGAAGTACGGTAAAATGCAAGATAATCCAAGATTACTTTCGACTGAACTTTGCTTTTCATCGAGAGATGGTGAGTTTGATTAAGTGGGCATCATTTTATGGGTACGTTATACCGTTAAAACAATCGCATGATGTCATATAGAAACTACGATCCTGACTTATTTTTGACGATGCAAAATGATTTTTCTTGTAGCAGGTCAAAATCCCTGCGAGTCAACTCCCAATGGAGAGTGCAGCCATCTTTGTTTATTAAATACCCATGGTCGCTCTTGTGCGTGCCCCACTGGCGTAAAGCTTTTGTCTGATGGGAAAACATGTGAACAGGGTATGATTTAGGTGCAGTTATGAATAGCTTGTTTTGTGTTTGGACTATGGTATATTATTTTGCCCACAGTTTTCGATATGTTTTTAACACTCTGTGTGTGTCTAATATGCATGATATGAATGTTTTTTGTTTGTTGTTTATAAAGTGGAGAATTCTAGTTGCTGCAATCAGTTGTACAAATTTTAACTTGTGTGAATTCCTGCGATTGAAATCAGCCACAAAGAAGATATATTTCTCACAATATCGTTGAATTTTCAGTTTCGAATCTTCCTCCTTATTGAGAAATAAAAAAATGAGGAAATACTATTTACGGGATAAGGAGGAATTATAAAATAAAAACTGTGGGGAAGAGAAGCCGAAAAGGGAAGACACTAGCCTGCAGTGCCGGCGTATTTTGGGCGCAAAAATAAAATTTTTCCAATTAACACCTACTCCCTCGGCAAATATTTCCTCGCCCCAATCCTCCCCAGTTACCAAATCTAAGATGGCGGCCTAATACGAAAATGTGCACTCGTGCGCCCAAAATACGCCGGCACTGCAGGCTAGGAAGACACCAACAGGAGGACACTAGGACCCATGTGAGGCGCCCAACCAAAGGAATAAAGGAAAAAAAAGCATAAAAATATACAGACCTAAAAAGAACTAAGAAATTGAAATTAACAATGATGACATGAGCAATCACGGGTGATGGACCGCGAACAGCATCAAAAATTTTTTTTTAAAAGGGACTTATGCTTATAATTATTTTTCAAAGAAAAAAAATAAAAGAACCCGGCGAGATAAAATTTCTAAGAAGAGCTACATCACAAAGTTAATGAAAAGATAGAGAAATATCAAACAGTGAATTTCCTTGGATTTAGCATCAAATTTTCAGGACTAAAAACTATAAGAAATGTGTGGCAGACAGTGCAAAGAATGAATATCCATAGGAACGGATTGGAAGCTGGGTCATTCTCTCAAAAGGGTCTATTTCTAACGTCTCTTTCTGTACTGACACTGTCAAAAAGACAGGCACATGACAAAATCAGTTTTATCATGCTTTCTTCAAGAGAACACTTTCTCTCAGGACAAAACGGAACGTTGTTGGTTGTAAGATTAAACAAATGGATCTTGTTAACCGTGACATATTCTAACAAACAAATTCAAGTGATTAGCAAGCTCATTCAGAATATGCTCTAATCTCAGGCCCTATCCATTTTCTATTGCTGGCAAGAAAAGGGGACCTGCGGCGAATATCACTTGATACACCTGATCGTAGAGATGTGGTTTTACCAGTGTCTAATATCAGTCATGCGGTAGCCATTGATTTTGATCCTGTGGATAAATATGTCTACTGGAGTGATGATAATAGACTTCAAATAAATAGATGCCGGATGAATGGAGAAGGTTAGCCAACTGAATATGATATGAGTATGATCTACTATGTTTGTTCAGTAGGGACAATATATTTTGATAAGTTCCCTAAGGTTCTGTTTAGTTCCCCATCAATTTGTCTCGTTAACAAATGGTAAACACCACAGCGTACACTATTGAGTTATGGATGCACGCGGGAGGTTGCTAAGCACGAAAGAAGCGTAAGAGTCGCTCGAGGCGATAGCCGAGAGCGATTCTAGCTTCTTGAGTGCTTAGCAAACCTCCCAAGTGCATCCATAACTCAATAGTGTATGCTGTGGTGTTTACCATTTATTTTATAACATAACATTGATACATTGTAGCTAAGGAGTTCCCTTTTATTTAACAAATCTTACGTGACCAGAAAAAACAAGCGCGCGCGGAAAAATAGTCTTTACATTTGCTCACGTCAGCAGCGTACACCCGTGGGCAAATGGTGGACGCTAAGTTGACCAATCAGAGCACGTGCTTTATTTGGTTATGTTATAATACTGGATGGAAAAAGTTAATACACAAAATAAATTTGTCTCACCTAGCGGTCCTCCATAAACAATAACATGAACCCCAAATAACAGCAATGAAATGATTCTTGAAAATGAAAAAGTCTTCTAACGGGATCATGTAAATTTTATCGTGACACAACCAAGATCCACTTCCCACCCCCCTCGCGCACGATACATAATGACCCTTCCCTTGGCATTTTTAATCATGATGATAATGATAATGATGATAATGCTGATAATAATCTTTATTGAGATAACTCCATACAAATATGTTTTTCACATATGGTTTTTCCAGATGCTCAGACAGTAGTAGGGAGTGAGCTGCAACATCCTGATGGTATTGCTGTCGACTGGGTGGGGCGGAACTTGTATTGGACAGACGCAGGCAATAATAGAATTGAAGTTAGCAGACTAAATGGCTCAACTAGGAAAGTTCTCATCGATGACAATCTTGATGAACCAAGAGCAATAGCATTGGATCCAACTAGGGGGTAATTACATATATGAAAATAATTATGTTATTTAATGGGTTGGAGGTGCACACGGGAAAGATAATTGCCAGAAGACTTGAGTACAGCCAGAGGTGGAAGGTGGTGGGCCACACTCAAGATGAAATGCGTGGTTTTTCTTCAGAGGGACTGGGCTCATTTTTTTTCTTCTGATTTGCTTTTTCCACTTTGCGGTGAAATAGCATTGAAAAAATTCTGGACTGTATTTGTTATTTTTAAAGGCTGGATGGGTTACAAGCCCATGATTAACCAATCAGATTCAAAGGTTTAGGCTTCTGGCCTGATGGGATGTTGAAGTGGCCTGCAAAGAATGCTATGTTTAATTTTTGTTGCAAATGTGTCAGTGAGGAAGGTTGTTATCATTGTAAAAATATTCTAACGTGGTCTCTCCCAGGTACATGTACTGGACTGATTGGGGAAAGCACCCAAAGATCGAGCGAGCAGAGCTGGATGGGAGTCACAGAGTCATCTTAGTGAACTCCTCCGTTGCATGGCCAAACGGCCTTACCATTGACTATGTGAGGCAAAAGATTTACTGTGCTGATGCTAGGAATGACAAGATAGAAGTCATGAACTATGACGGGAGTGCTCGCCGTATTATTTTAGATAGAAAACTGCCTCATGTGTTTGGTTTTACTGTCCTTGGAAATAATCTTTATTGGACGGACTGGCGGAGGAGGTCAATAGAGAGTGTGAACAAAAGAACTGGCAAAAACAGAAAAGTACTCATTGACAGCTTTCCTGATCTTATGGGACTAAAAGCTGTAAACCTTAACCTCTCTTATGGTAAAGGCTTTTATTAATTTGACAATTAAAGAAGTTTTGACACTTTCCATGTGCCTCTTTCATCACAATTAAAACACTCTCTTTGCTTCAAGGTTCCAATGCTTGTCAAAGAAATAATGGAGGCTGTTGTCATTTGTGTTTATACACGCCATCAGGACCCAAATGTGAATGCCCAACAGAAATGGAGCTTCTCGCTGAAAAGAAAAGTTGTATAAGTAAGTACTTGGAACAAATGACTAGTTTTTATTTACTAAACAGGCTGTTGAAGTCCTTAATGTAATAAAGTCCTAAATGCAATAACATATTTGGTCCTAAATGTAATTCAGTCCTAAATGTAATGACATTTGGTCCTAAATGTATTACGCCTCCGATGCCAGTTAATGGTTGTTATAGCGAAAATCCACACTGAGATGTTACAGTGACAGCTCTTGCACCAAAACATCCTCTGGCCAGTGTTCGTATCACATCGCGGGCTCACTGATATCAGTCAACAGTTTTTTTTTTTGTTTGCTTGACTTAAGTCGAGAAGTATTGGCTACAAACCGTTATGCTGATGAACAATTGGCATAGAATGACAGCTAGCAAAACTGAGATTTTGGAGAAATGTGATAACGTTATTATTGCGTGATAGATTTAGTAATAGTAATAGTGATAGTAATCAAAGTTTAATGTCTTTATGTAGGGCATCATTACCCATATTTCTCGAGCCAGTATGGAACGCAGGACAACAACTCACCCATCCCACCCCAGGGGAGGACATCCATCACACAGTAATCTCGTGCATGGGAAATTAACATCTCTTACCCCTAACCCTGCGGGAGACGGGACCTCCATTTATTCGTCCCTATCCGAGAATACTAGAATATCTAAACCATTTCTTGATGTTATAGAAAGGCAGCATAATCTTCTCAATTATTTTAAGACTTTGAGTGTTGGTCCGGCCAGGGCTCGAACCCTCGACCTCCCGCACATCAGTCTAGAGCTCTATCCATTGAGCTAACCGGGAGGCGGTTAGCTCAACGGATAGAGGCTCGTTGAGCTCAGTGAGTTAAGTCATAAACCAAATTACAAACTTGGACAAGAGAGTCCGCTGACTAGTCGGACAATTTCCCTTCTCGGAAATATACATTTTTCGTCTTTCCTTGCCTGACTAGAACTTATTAGCATGCGCATTTTATTTCCCAATTCGGACGTCGTGACAGCACTCTAGACAGTTATTCCTTTCAAATTCTTGAATATGTTCTTGGGCTGACAATAGATTTTTCTGCGAAAATGATATTTTGGGTTGATAGTGAGAACAACGTAACTGAGTGTGTAACTTTGAACGGGACAAACAGGAAGGTTATTGCATCAGAACTTCCAAAGCCATTTGCTTTGACTCAGTTCAAGGGTTACATTTATTGGACAGATCAGAAACTCAGCTCAATCTACCGCGCCATAAAAACGAGTGGAATAGAGAAGACTCGGCAAATCAAGGCCAAAATAGAATTGTTTATCAAGGATGTTTTGGGTATTCACGGCAGCAGACAGGAGGGTTAGTGCAGCAAGAGTCACCTGGCTGCTGTTTCATATAATTCTTAAAAATAAGATGCAACGCAACGATGTCAGGTACAACGCATAAAGTTTGACCCAAGCTACGAACACTTGGGATCACTTCAGATACACATATAAAGCTTGCAACTTTTCCATTGAATTTTCAAGAAGATCAGAACGAATGATGCGGTGCCAGTTGTCCTTAACTCGCCCCATCATGCCCCTCCAACCCCTTACTAGAGTGGAAAAGATGTAAACCCAGATGAGGTACATGTTGGTTGTCCTATACAATAACTCTTCCCTATACATTTCCTTTGGTACTGACCGGGAAAATCTGTTAAACAGTCAAAGCTTTTTAAGTTGGTGTTTATTTCCTTTACTCTCGTGATCATAATAAATGATTCAGCACTATTACTGTGGGAAGAAATTAAATACTGGTCACTCTCAGGGTATAAAGGATTAATCTCTTAAAGGAGTAATTTTCTATAGTCCACTCTAAATATTCTATTGGCGACGGTTGATTCTCCCTCTGGTCCTCTGAAAAATGTGATTTCTCCAAATTCCTCCCCCNACCGATTGGTTTCTAAAGCATTTTTTTTTTTCAGTCGGAGGTAGGCCTGTAGTTGATGGTGGGTATACGAAATGGAGTAAATGGGGACCTTGTTCCACCACATGTGACCCGGGTGTGAAACAAAAGACACGCACCTGCACAAATCCGCCGCCTCAAAATGGCGGAAAAGACTGCAGCAGATTTGGACCCGCTAGGAAATTCAGGATATGTAACAAAAAACCCCGAAAGTGGTGTAAATGTGAGTTTTATACAAGCTTAACTAATTCAATGACTGGCGATGTGCGCACAATTAACTAATAAGGCCATGGTATTAAGTTATAACTAAGAACAGCGCTGTCTCCTGATAAATAGACAGTAAAAGGTCTTTCGCAGGCTTTTGTGACACTTGAGATAAACTTGATGCTTCCTAAGGCTTAGTTTGTTGTCAAAATGAGATGCAGGAGCTGGTCTTCAACTCAACAATCTGTAAGGACTATGTTCATAATGGTGAGGATGGTTTGGCCTTCACAGCCTCGCTTTTGAGTGAAAATGGTGACAGCTAATTATCAAAGAACAGGAGAAAAGACCCGCCATTTATGAAATATGTCTACACTCTGCGCGTTGAAAACCACAACAAAGGTGAAATATTGTGTGGTTACCAAGGGATCTATGAGAGTTCAGAGACCCACCGCTAACCTCAGTTAATGATACTGAATCTTTGAGAATTCCCTGACCACACTGCTCTACGTTCTTTAGCAAGTACAACATCATGTCCACTTTAACAAGAGAGACTTGGTTAATAACAACCCAGAAAGGCTGAGCTAGTTCTGGCACAAAATTAGGCTCGTATCAATTTGCGTGAAAAGTAGTTGAAGTAAAAAGTTTAGGAAGCTCTACTAGGCGAGAACAATGACAAGACTAATCTCTGTACTGGGGACGGTACACCTTTAGTGACTGACACAACGTTCAGACAAGGCACCTTGGAGTCCACATCTACATTCAACTCTACAAACCTTTATTTCTGAATATGTCCGTGGAAAATTTTCCGCCAAAAGGTTCACCAATCCAATTTCTTTCTACATCAACTATCAGATTACTCGAGCGATGGGTGATTTTTGAATGACGCCAGCAAAATCTCGGAAAGGGAGGGGGCTTGTGACGTTAGTTGGACTGGTCTCTTAAAGCGGGAGGGGGGGCATCTCTTTTAACCATCCTACTCCCAGAAGTGATTAACATGTAACTTCTCCCTATGATATCCATGTATCAAACAGGCAATGAGAATGTTCAAACTTATCAGGTAAAAGTTGTTACCTTGATCTCACGTCAAATTCTCGTAATTAATTTGCAAAAAAATGTCTGGTGGTTAGACGGGAGAATTAACAATCAGGCCCCGGTTGTTCGTAGGATGGATAACGCCATACACTGGATAAATCTCTATCCGGTGGAAAGCGCAGTACGTTTTGGTAACACTTATCCGCTGGATAGTGATTTATCCGTTGGATAGCGTTATCCGCCCTTTGAACAACTGGGGCCAGATCTTTAGAGTTGAAGAGTTAATCACTCGAGCTTAAAATGATTGGCGTCAAATCTAGTTTGACACCCGGAACTTTTCCAAGCCGACTAAAATTATTTTTTAATTATTTTGTAATCGTTACGGTGGCCAATTTACCATTTCAACTTTGTTGATGTATCTAAAATTATTTTTCTTCACAGAAACTACAAAGCTGGATGATGAAAACATTAGCGAAAAAATATGGACAAAGCAAAACCAAGTGTTCATTAACCTTCTTGGATCTTTAGAAGAAACCCACTTTGCTTTAGGTGCGCCCGTAATTCAGAATCATCATAGCTGTTTCTACAAGCCAAACTATACGTATAAGGTGAAGGGAAAGTACACGGCCATGTATACAAACATCTTTATTAAAAATATATTAATCTAGGAAAATTTAAAAGTCACCAGCAAAACTGCTTGACAATAGATACTCTAGGTTAAATGTAAAGCACCATTTACAAATTATGTACAATATTTACAATAAATAATTTTGACACTGTTTGAAACTGTTAAAAGCCATGTTAATGTTTCTACTTGATTGCGCAGAAATAGCGCAAATGACCTCATCAATGAATAGGAATGAGTCACCTATGGTACCTAACGGTTCATCAATGATCCTCGATTCACCTAACTTACAGGACCTAACAGGCGCCTACTCGCCGCGGCAGGTCTGCACGAAAAACCACCTCGTGAGCACTGCTTCCGGACCAAGTCGCTGCGACCCATGTCATAGCAACGATCACTAGAAAAGTTCAAACCAGTTTGAATTTAGGCGACTTGTTGCGGGAGCAGAATTTTGTCGCACGGACAAAGATTTTCAAAAAATTAAATCTTGTTATACCAAGAAATTTGCGTAGTAATGTGTACCCACTCTTATTTATGACAAATTAATTTCTGACCATTGGTGGTCCACCATTGCCCAGAAGTGGTCCACCATCGGCCATGAGCGGCCCACCATTGACCATCGGTGCCTCGCCAATGACAATAATGGTCCGTAGTGTTCTAGAAATGATTTTCACTGTTCGCTAATAATAGTTACTGATGCCATCGATAATTTTTCAGAAAGAATTATAATTTATCACTGATCACGGAGAATTCACGAGCGACCATTCGTAAATCGCCAACCGTGAAGAGTAAATTTACTTGGAAAGACTTCCTTCCGAGGGAAACTTTCAACATGTTCTGAACTCCAAATTGGCACAAAATTTGGAACCGAAATATGGAAAGTTAAAAAGACTAAGGCATAAATTTAAAGGAGTACAAAACATTCGTAGACTTTAACCCTCGAGATATTTTGAAAATTAACTGCCAACTTCAGGAATCGCCTGTTTAATTGCAGTGCACAATGAGTCGCCGATATACACTTCCTTTTCAGGTTTCTTCTGAACCCCTAGAAAACGTCACTACATTTCCTTTCCACTGAAATTAAGTTGTTATTGGGGTAACCTGGATAATCTTGACGATACTGTGAATTTTTCCTCACTTTCTCGCGAAACGTGCGCTGAAAATTGTGCATGTTAGGCGTATCTGTAGCAACAACCACGGTCACCCAAGATGATAAGAGTATCGTCCAGTCTCTTGAGCTCCGAAGTGATATCTACCCTGTACCACATTGGAAAACCCTGACAATTGCGTGACAGGGGGAACACGCGACAGAACCCTCTCCTGAACAATTGCGTTACAAAATCACTGACGGTGCATCAGTCACTGGAGAGGGTGGAGGAGGGTAAGGATGAGCGAAAAAGTGTCTTTCAGTCAAAGCAGGAGAAGGAGGTGGACCCTCCTGATCCGAAAAATGTGTCGCTTCTGAAAGATAGTTCGTGTTTGGCGTCGGAGGCGGTGCGAACAAATCTGAATCATACGCCGCCTCCGTGCAGGAGGACGCCGCGTAACGTTTGTGCCTACAACGGTGCAGTCTGCGACAATGATGCCGACTCCCAACCGACTCCACGTCGGTGGAGACAGGCGTAGGAGGCGGAGGCATTTTAGGCCGATGATATCTGTATGATGTACATGAAGACGGTGGTAACAAGGACTCACAATATTGACGTGATCGCGAGGTGTACTGGGAACGTTCCGTAACCGGCGATGGCGGCGGGTTCAGGGGCTCATGGAAGTACGCTGTGACAACTGTTGATGCTGTTGACGAGCACGAAGCTCCAGTCAAATTGTTCCGGTCGTATGCCGTTTGTGAGGCGCTTGAACGGTTGCTTAAGCTCGGGGCCGTTCCGTTCGATTTCGAACGCTTATGCGATGAACCCGCTGATCCGGGACCTCTTCGTAAAGGTGCCGTCACAAACATGTCATGCCGAGATGATGTTGACGATGAGGACGATGCCGACGAGGCAGGCCTAGGATGAAGGACTGGAGTCACGACTAATCCGATATCGTGAGTTACGTCACAGTCTGGGCCGTGCTTGAGCCTGCGACAGATGAGGACAGCGACAGTGAGGAAGATGACACCCACAATAATCGACGCTACAATGACGGCCACCATTTTACCACTGAGATTTGAAGGTTGAATTGGACGAGGTACTGGGTCTGTGCCATTCTCTAGATAAAAATCAAAAAGCCGAAAAAAAAAAGATCCATCAACATCTATGACTAAGAGAGAGAAACAAAATATATGCAAAACGTGCGACGAATAGATAGTTAACACGGAGGGATTAGATTGTTCGAGGGAACCGGGGGGGGGGGGAATCAACCGTTGCCAACAGAGTATTTAGGGTGGATTATAGAAAATTGACTGACATTATCTGCCAATGAGAGGAGGATTATATTAACATTACAGAGCTTCAGAGGGCAGATCAGTTAAATTTGATCCTGACAACCAAAATCCTAAAGCAACATCAGCATGCATATTCTCCATACTGTTCTCTATATATTTCTTTAGGCGCTCACAAGGAGAATTTGTTTAACAATCAAAAGCATCTTGAGTTGGCGATTATTTTTTTTATTCTCATAACTTTGATGCATGATTCTGGGGTGGTATTGTAAAGAGAAATTAGATGTTTCCACCCTTACTTGGGTCGTTCTTTAAAAGTAGTAAAAAAAAAAATAGATGTCTCAAACATTCTGTTTACGAAAGAAGTTGTTCATTAGCTTTGCTATAAGTCAAAATAAATCGTAATATTTACTTGGAGTATCCACACAATCCATTTCATCTATATTGTCAACGCAGTCTGCCGTTCCATCACACATCCAGTCAAGAGAGATACACCTACAGTCGTTGGTTTCATCATAGCATCCGAACTCACCCTTTTGGCATTTCGACGCTAAAATGGAAATGAAAGGAAAGGTGCAAGCTCACAATCAAATCAAAGTTACGACAGGTGGCCGTTAATAACAGCAAAAACACTTCAAGGTGCAAACAACGGAGATGTTTTATCTTCAAAGCTCCCTGACCAAGATCGATCGCTACAAAAGCTGCGAACGCACCCTATAAACGGTACATTTCCAAATCTGCAGTTTAGTTGGTTTTACTTTGAGTTTTTTTTTTTTGGCTCTGGAAAGTATTTTCCTTTCTCTTGATTGGCCTTTGTGATTACTTTGGCTTTAGTTTTAAGCCATTCAATCGAATAGCAATCTTATCCAACAAAAAAGGAGTACGCAGTATCTGGCGCTTGGCATGGCTTACTTTCAAAATTTATTCAGTTTTTTATTACTTCCCAAGTTTCTCTTCCTCTTGTTTGGTTTGTCTACATTGGTGCAAACTGTGATAAACGCTTTCGGAAGAGCGCTGAACGGCTATGAAAAAGACTTAATAAATGCAAGTGATAAATTCAGAGTTTCACATGATTTCATGTTCACTTACAGCAATTCGACTCGTCCGAGTTGTCATCACAATCACCCTCGCCGTCATTCACTTTCTCCGCATCGATACACTGACCTCCGGTGCGGCAAGCGAATTCATCATCTTTGCAAAGCGCTACGGATCAGACAAGGAAATTGTGAAGTTGGATTTGAAAGATTTGTTGAGAATGACGGTGCAACACAACACGACAAAACAAAACAAAACCAAATCATATCGAACAAATAAAACCACCGCTTCTACTACAAAAAAACGTTAACCCTTTGGCTCCCAAAATCCAGCTCATAGTTCTTCCTTTTGATCGTCATTCATTCCCTTGAATTTAGTGTTTCATCGCGATAACAACCTGTACTTAACGGATTTGTCTCTTCTCATCACCTATCTATGGGACCTACAGGATTTTGCATTGAAATCGCGAGGAGATGTAACAAATTAATCAGATCAGGGAGCTGATTGGTTACAATAGATCTATGAGTTTAGACGCAGGCTCTAAGAACCTGCACTGTTTTTTGAACAATTGACTCTCAACAAGGTAAACTTAACGAACAAAACTTACGACAGTCCTTTTCGTCAGCACCATCCGGCTCACAGTCCGGAGTTTTATCACAAACCCACTCTTTTGATAGGCAAACCCCGCTTGGACAGGGAAACTGGTTTGGCTTGCATTCCTTGGGAGCTGGTTGAAAAAAAACAAACAAACAAATAAACCAACCAATATAATTCATTTAATTACTAAAAAACTCTGAAAACCTGTGTAAAATACATCGAAAGGCTTTATGATTTAATTGCAAAAAATTTGGGCCGACGTTCCATTACCCTGGTCTCTAAGAATTCCTCTCTTCGATTTAAACATTTGAATTACAATTACAAAGCGCTCTTTCCACAAAACGCTGAGTCAGTCTCAAGTATTAGCTTTCGTTATCCTTTCATACTTTGCCTATTCCTCTAAATTTTTCTTTATTTGTCACTTAACATCCCAACAGCAGTATGCATATTCTCCATACCGATCTCTTTACATTTCCCGAGGTGCTGAAAAGGAGAATTTCTTAAGCAATCAAGGGGCCTCTTGACTCGTTGATCCTTTCCTATATTCCCGTTACCTTAAAGTGTGTTTTGGGGGTTGTATTGTAAGAAGAAATTAGATGCTGATCACTTTTAAGGATCAAAGGGTTAAAGATAAGTTAAAGATGACAAACTAAGGGCGCCCGCCTTTAAAATACACTTACGTCCGCAAGTTGAATTGTCCTCAGTTAGGATCATGTCCATAGGGCAAGAACACTGAGCTTTGTTGTGATCGCCCACCAAACAGATGTGTGAACAATGGTTCCTGATACAAGGATGATAATCTAAAAAGTCGACACAATAAAATTAACGCGCTTGGACTCAACTCATAATGAAATTTTCAATTGAGGTCGGAAGTAATCCGGGTTGACTTGTTTTTGCTTTACCTCGCTTTGTGATTGGTCCAGAAAACTCGCACCATTCTCTCGACCAATTAGATGCAAAACTAAAAGCAATCACGACGCGGTCGCCTGCGTTTTCCCGCACTCCCGGCAGTTTGGGCTCTAAACAGTAATTTCCTTTCTTCTCATTGGCTGTTGTGGGGTTTGCAATACTCAATCGAAAAACACTCTTCTAGTAATAATCATGGCTTAGCAGAGTGCGTTCGATCTCGCTTAGGAATGAATATTTTTAACTTGCGCAACAAAATTTAGTGTGTAATTAAACCAGTGAATATTAAATGGTGACGTGGCTCACAGTTCCGATTTGTTGTAACCCATTTCTTTCCATGCAAATGCTTGCAATTGAACTAGATCTCTCTTTAAGGCATCCCGACCGAAGCTAGTTAAGACTTCGCTTTGCCAGGGGGATTCAAAGCCCACGCATGAAATCAAGGCGAGTGGTCAGCCAAAGATGGCGCCAAAAGCCTCGAGCGAAACTCCTACGGAAACGAAATTACCTACACAACTACAAGAGTAAAATTATTTACAAAATATGAATCCACTGTGATTGGCAGGAAAAAAAATCTCCTTCCTTCCAAACAGTAACGCAAAGAAATGTCAAAAGCACGTCCGTACCTGTTGACTTCCTTGTATCAACCACAATCATATCTGTCAAACCATTGATGGAGGCTTGCACCGTCTTGCCAAAGTCTTCGCTCACTTCACCTATCTTTTCAATTTTCTTAAGGAGGCGTGACTCCTGGTCGATCCAGTACACATAATTCCCATAAACTGCCAGACCAATGGGATTCAATATATGTCTCTCGACCAAAGTGGCTCTGTTGGTCCCTGTGAGACAAGAGACATAAACATACGTATGATGCACGATCCTCGCAGTAGAGAGCGCTATTTATGCAATAGCGAAAATCAGACCTGAAAAAAAGGATCGCCACGATTCACGATTTAAGCATATACAACCACTTCGATTTGCTGGAGAAGTAATTCACCATCTTTTGTAAATCGTTTTGAAAATGAAATCTTCCTGCACTTAAATAACCTTTTGAAAGGAGATTTAGTAGACTGAAGGAACACCGAAGAGCTTCGAACGATTGCTTGATGAAAACACAGCCATCTTGGAAACTACACAAAATTTAACATAGATGGTCCACACATGTAACAAACAAGACCGCACAAGAAAACAGCATTTGCCAGGTCACTAAGTTACTGTAATCATTTGCTGAAAATGAGTATTCAACACCGAAGCTGTAAGGAAAATTGTCTGCTCTACAGATCAGAAGATACAATTGAAATCAGCCCCACAAGGTTTCTGTTTAAGCCACATAAAATTTATTATTTCAAACTTTTTCATTGATTAAGAACGCACTGAAAACTGACAAAACTGAACACAATTAGAACTGGTTTCGTGAACCTGGTTTTCCTAACGGACTTCAAGCAATTGTTATGCTAATTTCTTAGATTGCTTGGGTTGGGTCTTTATCTATGATCCATGTAAAAGACGAGGGTGATTTTTTGGGCTAATTTTTCCGTCATAAAGAGTCGACTTGTACACAGATAAATATGGTAATACTTCAATGATAAATGTAGAGCATGGCAATTAATGAAATGATCAGTGTCTAATCATGAACTAGCTCTTTGTCAGTGACAAGTTTGCAAAATTAATATTGGAGAAGGGTACATTACTTCATACAACAGTTACTGTGAAACCATCATACTGAAAAATATGGCGACTGCTACACTCAACCAGACCTCTTTGTGCAAGAAAATCCTGGAACCACTCATAAAAACAAGCAGTAAAGGTCTGAAAAATTTAAACCTTGCATANGATTGGCAGGAAAAAAAATCTCCTTCCTTCCAAACAGTAACGCAAAGAAATGTCAAAAGCACGTCCGTACCTGTTGACTTCCTTGTATCAACCACAATCATATCTGTCAAACCATTGATGGAGGCTTGCACCGTCTTGCCAAAGTCTTCGCTCACTTCACCTATCTTTTCAATTTTCTTAAGGAGGCGTGACTCCTGGTCGATCCAGTACACATAATTCCCATAAACTGCCAGACCAATGGGATTCAATATATGTCTCTCGACCAAAGTGGCTCTGTTGGTCCCTGTGAGACAAGAGACATAAACATACGTATGATGCACGATCCTCGCAGTAGAGAGCGCTATTTATGCAATAGCGAAAATCAGACCTGAAAAAAAGGATCGTGCATCATACGTATCTAATACCGCAGTTCAAAATATGTGAACTTCATATATTCATTGTATCAGACATAAACATAGTTAAGGGAACACAATGATAAACGTACGCAAATGCGCAAACATTGCAACCGCTACAAGGCATGTTTAAAGAAGTTTTCCGCTCCAAAGATGATTTGTCCGTACTAATCAAAGAGATCTAAAAGCCGCAGGTGTAAAAACAAAGAGCCCGGCCCCAAGCAAAGTATACCGCTCTGTAAAACTTTCATTTGGTTCCATGTACATGTTGTAACAATTTTAGCTCATTTTAGCTCTCCACTTTAAGAATGGTCCAGATTGACTTACCTCCGAGGTCGCCATACTCAATCTTCTTCCGTTGCGTGTCAGTCCAGTAAAGTTTCTTGCCTTCTTTATCCACTGCCAAGTCTCCCGGAGAGTCGGCACTGAACAGACGCAGATTGTCTTTGGAAAGTTGCACTTTGTCTGCCCCAGCCATTGGCACTTTCATGATACCCTTGGTGTTTGAACCGACATTAGTGAAGTACATAAGCCTAAATAAGAGGCAAAACAGAATGGTTTATTTAAAAACGACATTAATTTATTTTTCGCTGCTAAAATACAAAGGCACCGTTATTTAGAATGACTTAATCTGGGAACTTACAAAAGACAAGCGATAATTTACATGATGAATTGTTTCCGTTTCTATGGTTAATTCCCGTCCAACGCTTTTTCCGAAAACTATTTTGGAGTCCGGGTGCCGACGGAGACTAAATTTTGCCTTTGGGCGACTTGTACACTTTTCAGTAAATGGTTTGAAGCCGGGGGTAACATGAAAGTGTAGTGTGATCGTTCGGATGTGTGTAGCTCTGAGAAGGACTGTTGTCGGTTGTCGAAACGTCAGTCACTACCACCGACAACAGTCCTTTTCAGGACTACACTCACCCGGACGATCACACTACACTTTCCCTTGTACACTTTTGTTTCTTTGGAAGCTTTTATCTCTTTAAACCCCGAGAGACACCAGCATCTAGTTTCTCCTAAAAGCAATACTGCTGAATCATTCAAGTCAATGATCGCCAACCTAAGACGTTTCGATCGTTTAGTGAATTCTCCTTGTCAGTAACGAAAGAAAAGTAGAGAGAGAATAGTGTGAGAATAAAGTTACTTATGTTGAAAGTGTAGATGGTTAAGAACTGGGCTTACCAGATTTCTGAGAAAAGAGCCTTCAAACACCAAGAGATTTTCCTAACGGCGTATCATTGATTATCAACGAACTACAAACACGCACTATGATTTTCCTAAGGGCACATCACTGATTATCAACAAACTACAAACACGCACCATCATGAATGGAATTAAATTTAAAAGACTCACCCTTTCTCAGGATAAAGTACAATTGAGCGAGGAGAAACGCCTTCTTTCTTAAACACTTTTCCCAGGTTGGTGTTGTTTCGTAAACTGTACACATTGATACTGTTAGTAATAGAGTCCGTCCAAAACAATTGCTTCGCATACGGGTCAATGGCGAAATCAAATGGAGACGCATTTGCAGCCAGATTTAAGCTGTTGTCCTTAACGGAGCCGTTTTGATATGCAAATTTAATGCGGGATTCCTCGATCCAGAAGACACGATGGCTGTTGATGTCGAAGTCAATGGCCTGGACATCTGACAAACCTCGCACGGGTAAAACAACATCAAGGTTCTCGGATGAATTGAATAGGATTCGTCGAATGTCTTCTTTGGTGCTGTACAGCATGAAAACACGAGGGGCTATAAACGGGAATTAACACAGATTATTGCAAGCAGAAAACGTTAAGATTGATTAAGATTTCTAAAGATAACTCCCTGAGATTTTGTGGATTTGCGCAACACTCGTCACACGTCTCTTTGACTCTAAGGCGAGATATGAAAGCCACCTCTCCTTACAAGTTTAAAGCAATGAGGGGAACACGGATAATGAGAAATAAGAAAATTATCAGCTAATGAATAATACTGTTCCAAAGCACTACTTTCTCGGTAGAAAGAGGTAAAGAGTTTATTATTAAAGAAAATTCAAGGCATGGCCAGTTCTCAAACAACAAAGCTCAAAAGCCCGGGGGTTGCCTTAGGGCTTAGAATTGATCAATGCATCACTCAGTCTCAGAGCTGGTGTTGCCTACAAGTTTGTCTAAATTACATTCAGTAAAATGTAACACCTATTACTTATCAACAAACCTAAGCAACTTTTATTGTCAGTCAAGGATAAGGTATAGTGTGTAGGGCAGGAACACTCTTTTCTATTTCCAGGTTTAGCCAGACACAGGTGACTACATCCTCCATTCTTGAAGGCGCAGGGATTGGAACCTAAGAAGAAAGACATATCAAAATAAAGGGTTAGTCCTAAATTTGAATAGAAAAGTCTCTCATCCTCTGAAAAATTCCATTACTATTCACGAGGTCAAATCCCACACACGAAGAAGAAGCTCCTGAACCTCGCTCTAAAATATTGCTCCTGTATTGACTGTTAAACAAATCTTCCTCGTCGGTACCAAAAGAAACGTATAGAGAAGACTATGGAAAATAAGGAAGCTGTTGTTGGGGTTTGAAGGGTTACTGTTCAGGACAATCAACATGTACTTCATCTGGGTTTACACCACCCCACTCTGGTGAGGAGTTGGAAAGCCGGGCATGGTGGGGCAGGGTAAGGACACGTGGCACTGCAACATTCGTACTGATCATATTGAAAATTCAGGGGAAGAGTTGCAAGCTTTATTCGTGTATCTGAAGTGATTCCAAGTGTTCGTGTCTCAGGTCAAAATTGACGCGTTGTACCCTACTTGTTTGCGTTGCGTGCTATTTGTCAGAATTACATGAACCAGCAGCCACATGACTAATGCTGCACTAACCTTCTTGTCTGCTGCCGTGAAAAACCAAGATGTCCATGATAGTAAATTCTATGTTGCCCTTTATCTGAGTCCTCTCCATTCCATTCGTTTTGTTAGCGCGGTAGATTGAGCCGAGTTTCTGATCTGTCCAATAAATGTAACCCTTGAACTGGGTCAAAGCAAATGGCTTTGGAAGTTCCGATGCAATAACCTGCCTGTTTGAACCGTTCAAATTTGCACACTCGATCACTTTGTTCTCGCTATCAACCCATAATATCATTTTGGCAGCGAAATCAATTGTCAGCCCAGTTGGACGAGTGACATTTGGGATGATTGTCTGTCTATTAGAACCATCCAGGTCTGCTCTCTCTATCATTGGATGCCATCCACCGTTTGCCCAGTACATATGCCTATGACAAAGATTACAAAGATAATGAATGTCTTTATTTTCAACCCTAAAGCCAAAGAAAGACAGACATCTAACTTCTCCTTGCAGCAGTAAGGCTGAATAATTCATTAAGATGGCAAGAATAAACAAAATCATCACCAGCGTAAGAAGCTTTGATTGTTAAACAAATTCTCCTTGTCAGTACCAAAGGAAATGTACAGAACAGTATGGAGAATATGGTTACTGATCTTAGGGTGTAAAGGGTTAACTAGAATGCTGACTTGTGCACTTTTCCTTCATATGCAGCCTGGGAAACTATACACAGAACCAATAAGAACCAATAAGAACCAATAAGAACCAATAAGAACCAATAAGGGGGAAGAACCAGAAGACTTTCAATTCCGGGAGCCAGCAGAAGGGAATTTCTCTTCACAATATCAAACTATTTTCAAGCGAAAAAGGCTATGAGAAGTAAGAAAATGATCACCTAGGGATTGTGTTCCATTCAATGTTAAATTCTCAAATATCAAATTAAGAAATGTATTGCAGACTATGTAGAGAATTGGTATTTACATGTAGATCTTGGGAGCGAAAGAGTGCTGTTAGTCTTTCTGAATAGGATACAAGTCCATTTGAGATTACATACATACATACATATGTTAATTGACCACTCCACATGGGGGCTTTTCAGGGACAATTCCCACCCAGCAACCACCCCAGGGGAGGACATCCATCACACAGTAATCTCGTGCATGGAAAATTAACGTCTCCTACCCCTAACCCTGCAGGAGACCGGGCCTACGGTTTATTCGTCCTTATCCGAGAAGACTAGAGTATCTAACCATTTCTTAATAGAGAGAGGTAGCATGTTCTTCTCACTTGTTTTAAGACCTTGAGATTGCATTTCCTATCCCACCCTCCCCCCACTCTCCCCCCACACTCTCCCCCACTCTCCCCTCTTCTTCCAGCATTTCTTCAGCATTCCCTCAGTCCTTGTTGAGACCTACAGAACCTGGTGAAAAGCTGCAAAACTCTAGGGTACATTTTCTTCCGCAGGGTAATGCTATAGCCACAATTTAAGCACTGATCACATACCCAGACACAGGATCGAGAGTCAATTCTCGTGGTTCCCATAAATCCTTCCAAATCAGCATTTTCCGGTGCTGGCCATCCAGCCGTGATAACTCTATTCTCTGGAGCTTTGAATCTGTCCAGTAAAGGTTCTTGGCAATCCAGTCCACAGCCAAGCCATCAGGGTATGACAAGTCTACAGCAATCAAGTGCTGCACATTGCTACCATTCAAAAACGCGCGACTAATAGTCTTGAGGGTCAAATCTGACCAATAAATCTGCATGTCGTGAACACTGAAATCAAGAGCATTTGCTTCTTTAATCCCAACCAATGGAATGATCAAATCATTGTTAGTTTCCAAAGAAATTCTCCTGATATCATCAGCATTTGAGAACACAAGAAAAGCTTCTGGTACTGCAGAAAAAAAAACACATTATTTTTTTAGTATTGCTACAATTAAACCAATTGTTTACTACGACACACCTATCATTATGTCAAGAATTCCCTATTAAGCTGCCTGATTAAAGATACATGTGTATAGGTAGAAAGTCTAACTTTTCCTTTTCAAACCTCAAAGACTACTTGAAATTCAAATAGCTGAAGCCGAGGAATGACGAGGGTTATGAGGGACCGTGTAGAAACTTTGCTTTGGTGTTTATAAGCTCCAAACTGGCAATTTTACAACACGTAAGCTTAAATATTTTAATTCACTCATTCACTGTGCACAGGATCGCTTACAATTTTTTTTTCCAAACGTTGGAATCCCTCGTCCCTTTGAACGAAGTCATTTTGAGTTTTTAGACGTGCAAAAACTACCGCGAAGACGCTTAATTTATTGGTTTTAAACTTCTCAGCCGTACTAGGTTTGTAGTTCGCGTTGCTTAAAGTTGAATTTTGGCGGGCTACGGCGACGTACTCTCCCCAAGCCTCGTCAACCACGATAGCCGTAGCAGCGCCAGCCGTAGTGATTTGCTTTAACTCCCTAGTAGTGAACTTTATTTATGTGTCGTGAAAACCTAGCGCATAGCACTAGTTGGGGACACTGGGTAAAAGCTTTAAAAATAAGATATCTGGAACCTATTTACAGAATTATTTACGTAACCTATTAACAGTTAAAATTATTTATCAATTGTGACAAGACAAAAGGAAACAACTACTTAAGATTTCACAGTAACATATTTGATGTGATTTGTCAGTTACATCAAGCCTGATTCTTATAACTTCCTGTCACTTTGGATGTAAGAGCATAATTTTACACTCCACTGCAAAAACACTGACACCTAACAAGCATGATCCATGGACAATCAGACCCAATGGCTTTAAGAGAAATGTTACCTTGATCTAACTTCAAATCCTCAAAATTAATTTATGAGGAAATATATGGCAGCCAAAGGGAGAATTGCCAATCAGATCTTGGGAATTAAAGGGTCAATAGTGTATGACAATTATGTTGATTTCCATAATTTTGAAGAAAAGAAATGGCTGGCTGGCTGGCTGGTTTTTAATAGTTTAAAGGGTATTACTGAGCCTGCTAAGTTAATAACTATTAGTCATCTGTTCCAAATACTTACATATACACCTTTTCTTTTCAGAGAGAAGCTCCATTCCTGTTGGGCATTCACATTTGGGTCCTGATGGTGTGTATAAACACAAATGACTGCAGCCTCCATTATTGCGTTGACAAGCATTGGAACCTTGAAGCAAAAAGAGTGTTTTAAATGTGATAAAAAGGACACATGGAAAGTGTCAAAACTCCTGGAATTATCGAATGAAAAAAAAAGTCTTACCATAAGAGAGGTTGAGGTTTACAGCTTTGAGTCCCATAAGATCAGGCAAGCCTTCAATGAGTACTTTTCTGTTTTCACCAGTTCTTTTGTTCACACTCTCTATTGACCTCCTCTGCCAGTCCGTCCAATAAAGATTATTCCCCAGGACAGTAAAACCAAACACATGCGGCAATTTTCTATCTAAAATAATACGGCGAGCACTCCCGTCATAGTTCATGACTTCTATCTTGTCATTCCTAGCATCAGCCCAGTAAATCTTTTGCCTCACATAGTCAATGGTAAGGCCGTTTGGCCATGCAACGGAGGAGTTCACTAAGATGACTCTGTGACTCCCATCCAGCTCTGCTCGCTCAATCTTTGGGTGCTTTCCCCAATCAGTCCAGTACATGTACCTAGGTGAGACCACATTAGAACATTTTTACACTGATAAAATGCTGACACATTTTTGACAAAAATTTGTACACCACTACCAACTTTCAGTATAAAAAAGAAAAGAAAAATATTCAAATCTATCTTTTTTCTGAAACATCTCAGCATGCCAAAACCTGAAATCCTTGAATTCTGATAAGCTAATCATGGGCTTAATGTAATTCATCCAGCCTTTAAAAATACAGAACATAGTCCTGAATTTTTTCTGTGCCATTACCATGGAACGGAGAAAGCAAATCAGCAGGAAAAAAAATAAGCCATCCACAGGGTTCAACACTAACTTTTCAACTTCCTAGCCAGGTGGCTGGTGACAACTTAGATGTTACAACAATTTCAGTTTGTTTACTAGCCAAACTTGCTTGTGGAAATCAAAACCATTAACCAAAACCAAATTCTACTAGTCTGTGGCTGGTTGGAAACTGTTAGTGTCGAGCCCTGCATCCACCCATCTAAGTCAGTCCCAACTGGAAAAAACCCTTGACCTTCATCTTAAGTATATATGGCCCTCTGCCTTCTGCCTCTGACCATACTCAAGACTAAGGGCACAGATTTTTACCATGTGTACCTCCCACCCTGTAAATAGCATAATTAGATTATATATATAATTACCCCTTAGTTGGATCCAATGCTATTGCTCTTGGTTCATCAAGATTTTCATCAATGAGAACTTTCCTAGCTGAGCCATTCAGCCTGCTGACTTCAATTCTATTAGTGCCTGTGTCTGTCCAATACAAGTTCCGTGCCACCCAGTCAACAGCAATGCCATCAGGATATTTCAGCTCACTCCTTACTACTGTCTGAACATCTAAAATATGAAGAAAGAAAAAAGAGAACAGTTCAAAATAACGTTGGTCAGTGCTCAGTAATGTTTTAGATACCACAACATGCAGGAAAAGTTCTGGTGGCTGAAGTTGCACTTTACTCTTTCCACCCAATAACATTATATCAAATAATAATAACAATAATAATAATAATAATAACAATAATAATAATAATAATAATAATAATAAACAATCTTTAAGGAGGAAGCGCCCGTCATGTAAATACGTGGTTTTCAGGGAGATCCTCCGTAAAAATAAAGAGTATTAAAAGCTAAAATAAGTATTAAAAGCTAAAATAAGAAATACAATTGTCACAGATCTAAAATGGTGTATATCTAAAGTTTTATCCATCATTTAAAGTATTTATCCATTAAGAATCTTGTAAGGTTTTCCTTAAAAATTGTGCATGGCATTGGCCTTCTTAAAAATACTGGGAGGGACATCCAGTCATTTATAAAACGGAAGTAGGACACCCTCTTTCCGCATTCCGTTTTAGGTTTAGGCAATCTAGGTAAGTAGCCATTTCTAGTGTTGTAGCCATGCGAACTTCTCAATGTCGATTTAAAACTTTCAAAATGTTGCGGAATGTCTCCTTTGATTGCATTTTCTACAGTGGTACAACGATGAAATGATACCTGAAAGACTGTTTAGGAAACTTGAGAGAACACGGTGTATTCAGTTACAAGCAAGGCTAACCTTTTCCATTCAACCGGCATCTTTTTATCTCGAGTCTGTCATCATCACTCCAGTAAACATATTTGTCCACTGGATCAAAATCAATAGCCACTGCATGACTGATTTCCGAAACTGGTAAAACAACGTCAGTGAGATCAGGTGTATCAAGTGATATTCGCCGCAGGTCCCCTTTTCTTGCCAGTAATAAAAAGTGGAAAGGGCCTGAGATTTAAAAGGGAAAAAAGAAAATATTATTTATGAATGAGCTTGTAACTGGACACTAAATTATAATCAAATACCGTTGTTAGTCAGAGTATATTATCTGGTTTCACAGGCCACCCTTGAAATCAACTTGTGAACTAGTTCTTATTTCCTACAACTATACTTGTCCAAATGAGATACTGGTGAGAATAAAAGTGCTGTAATCAGATCAAGTGGGCATGCATTTTAATTACTGACTTTTCCCATGTACCTTTCTACATGTATTTGGGGAATCATTGTGAACATTTTTCTGCTAGTTGGTAAAACCTTCTCATTTTCCAACCAAGTAACAAAAGTACTGAACAATCCAAATGTAGGGGATCCATGTCATTCTCCAATATTTTTAGCCACATACATCTAAAATTCTCTCAAGCACACATTGTCGAAAATTAAAATTTTTACAGAGAATGTACACAGGCAAATTTTTCAACCCAGAAAGTTGACCAATTTTATATGGCAGTGGCTACAATGCATGCTCTAAGGCAAGTCCCACACACACTTTGCCTCAAGTGACATGGAGACTTTTCATGTAAATCTTTGTCACTGCCATCAGTTGCAAAATATACCTCAAATAACATTCTAATGCTACACACCAGGCATACGGAATGTTTTAAATGCATTGAACCATTGAAGACAGTATACAACTCAACAAAAGCCTATTACACTATTAGACGCTATTCCTAACAGTGCACCCTAAATCATACCTTGTTCACATGTTTTCCCATTAGACAAAAGCTTCACACCAGTGGGGCACGCACAAGAGCGACCATGAGTATTCAATAAACAAAGATGGCTACACCCTCCATTGAGAGTAGAATTACAGGGATTTTGACCTGTTGCAAGAAAAGTCATGGAAATTGTCAAAATTAAGCCAGGGTCACAATATTGTCTTTCTTTTAAACTCATCGGCACTGATAAGCTTGGAGGAAGGTGCCATAGCACTGTGGCAGTCGCGCTGACTGCCCACAGCAGGAAGGTTACCATGGCGACACAACCTCGGTCCACCCCCTCTGGCACCAGTCACACTGACAAGTCAGTGGAATTGTTTTTATACTTACCTGCTCTTGGCCCGCCATAGAGGAGGGAGGGCGGGGGCACGAGAGGCGGCTCACGTTAGGATCAGCGACGATCTCAAAATGTACTGAAAACCTCGTGACCCTACAATTGCAAAGGGGGCGCCCCGCAGCATGTCCTCCGCTGACCATCGTGCCTTGATTTTAACCTTGCCTAAATTTCATTTAGCCTCATTTTGACAAAAGCTATCAAAGTAAAAGCCACTTGCTCACCAAAACCCCAACTACCAATCAAATTAACATGCATATGTACACTGTACCTTTAGCCAGCTACTTTCACTTCATTTACTAGTAAATTTTTACAAAAAATCAACCAGTTATTACAACAAAATTGATAAATTTGTAAAATTTACTGCATGTAATATCTTTTAGCGCTGCCTAAAATCATTCAGAATTCTGAAAAATTCTACAAGTAAAAGGGTTGCACAACAGCTTGAAAATTTCTTTTACATGCTGTGCTTGAAATTAGGGAGAAAACTACAAAAGATAATCAATAACGATGCAAACTATTATTTATGCTTACCTGGCCTTTGCAACTGTCTTTTTGGTTCATATGCATGTATATCCATGGGTGAATTGGAACTTGACAAGACTATTTGACACCGCATACCATTGTTTTTATTTGCAGCATGTATCCCTTTAGAATTCCAATCTGTCCAATAAATTTTGTTTTCATATAATGTCAAAGCAAATGGATGAGCCTGATTTGCCATAATACATTGATTTGGAGATTTAAATATTCTCTCTCGGTTTGTACCATCATAATTAGCTTTAGCTATGTAAAACAATTTTGCATCTGTCCAGTAAATTTTCTGTGCAGCGTAGTCTATTGTTAGCCCATTAGGCCAATGAATGTCTTGTCTGACAATTATGGAACGATTAGAGCCATCCATTTCAGCTCGCTCTATTTTGGGTTGTTCTCCCCAATCTGTCCAAAACATGAACCTGGAATGATAATTAAGAAAAAAAACGTTAGATACTATTACCACCATTGTTATTCTCAGGAGCATCCCCGAATTTAATTACACCTCATGTGAAGTTAAAAATCAGTGAGTCCTGTAATCTGAAATCATCCACTGTAGTTGCTTTCTCTTACTCTTTAATCAGTATTGATTGCCTTATTAAGTACACTTTCTTCTTTAACATCAGAGACTAGGAAGGCTGTGCAAAATTCTTTGACCAATCGGCCAGCATGATCGCTTAGCATTGTACCAATGCAAGGCCCTCACAAAAAAAACTTTTAATTAAACAATTCCTTAATTAAGAAATTCATGATGAGAGTCTTCAAGCTTCAAAAATGAGCTACCCAAGTTATCTTGGGGGCTAGCTGACACAAAGTCGAGCATAGTGAAACTCTTTAAAAACTTACTATAGCTCCCTTTATTTGACAAAGTTAAGTTAAATAAGTGTACTTTGGTCTTAAACAGGCCTACTGACAGGGTGCGCGGGTGCGGAACCACACAATTCGGTCAAACCTGCACAATCCGTGAAAATTCGCAAAATACCGCACAATGCGGAAATTTTTACTTGAAATTTAGGTATTTCAGTCAAGTATCAAGATTTCTAGAATATTTTAGACTATTTTCAGACTATTTACCTTCAAAAACACTCTAGAATTTCCACACTTTCATCAAACAACTCGTCAATTGCGTTATTCCAATAACAAGGCGTTCTTACCGTAGCCTGCGCTTTCCTGGGCACTAGTCTACTTCTAACTCTATTTTTCATCGGCGGCTTATGCCTATGCTTTTCAAATAACGAATCAGAGGTGTTGTTGAATAAGGCCACTGGCATTGTGGCTTTCTTACTCAAAGTGAAAAAAAGGAATGTTTATTCTTGGCATTTACAGAGCGAATGGGTTGTCAGATATTAAGACTTTCGTAAATTGTAGTGGAATAAGAAAACACGGCTTCCATCGACAGTAACTTTTACCTGTGAACTCAAATTAATGTTTCTGACACGTGTTTTAAGTAGCTGACAATCGCCGGCAGTCACCAGCAGAAACTGAAATGGAAAAGTTCTTTGCAAAAAAGGACAACCCTACAGCCGTGAATGTAACGCCAGCTAACAGGGTCAGAATTCTTCAAAATAGGTTCTAAAGTTCAGTCAATAAGATAAAAATCATTCAAAGCAAAATCTAGAAGTCATTTAGCCATTAGAGGAGGAATTTCACATTGATATTAAAAGAAAAGGTATGATTTATGAGGAGAACCCGATGTTTACTTTAACAGGGAGTGGGATAAGAAATATTTTGTTCTACGCAAGATTACACAATCCTGCACAATTAACTTTTTCTCCCGCACAATTCGCCTCCAAAAAAGCACACAATTTTCATCTTTTTCCCGTACCCTGTCAGAGGGCCAGCTTAAACCATTTTCAAGGAAGCTTTCCTGCTTATATGTACAATGTACTCAAATTTAATGTAGACCTACAAGCTCAAACAAGTTGTTTTAGTACATTAAATCTCGCCTGCCCTCATTTCAATCCAAAAACCAAGGGAGGGAGGGAGGGAGGACCTACAGCGTATCTGTGACCAGATTGTGGAACTAACTACCCATTTATCTAAAGAGAAAGGAGACAACAGTTGCTCCAGAAAGGCCTTGCATAGACATTTTTTTAAAAAGCTCTGACGAAGTAGAACAGTTTAATTAGTCTAAATGCGATTCAACATGAACCAAGCAACATATTTTATTTTATCTAGTTTTTAGCTCAAATTCTTTTAAACCTGTCAACCAGTTTTATAATTCCCAAATATTCTTTAATTCTAAAAGTGATACTTTGAGGATTGGGGGCCACCAGTTCGTCAGTTGAATAACTGTTATATATTACATGTTATCCTCTTTAATTAAAGGTATTATTATTATTATATTATATCATTCCAGTTCTTTTACCAAGGCAGTGTCAAAGTCAAAGTTAAGTTGTTCCAGTTAGTAAAAGTCAGAATCCATTATTTAATCCAATAATTATCCATTAGTGACAAATTTGAACAATAGTTTTGTGACTTCTCATCACACAGTCAAGAGTAGAGTTAGTGTTTATCACTCAAAATTGTTTTTCTATTCTCTAGTGAGCAAGAAATTTATGAAATAGGTGGATTGAGTCTGCACAGCCATTAGTTTCCAGTTCAAAATGTGATTCTTTCAACAGAGGAAGGACTCAAACACCTTCACAAGTACTTATAGAGCACTGATTGCTCTTCAACTGAAGTAAACAGCTGTTCAGTTTGTTTGATTTAAGTGACACCTGAATGAAAATTTTTCATTATATTGTTATAACAACAAGATACTGTGTATTTAACCCATTGACGTCCGGTGCGCCCTCATGCGCCCGGAAATAAAACCCCTCTGAAAATCCAGTGCGCCCTCATGCGCCCTGTCAGATATGACTCGTTTTTATTGGCTGTAGCTAAGAAACCGTAGTCCCCTGGGTATTGAAATATAACTGAACGTGACCTGCATAAATTAACCTTTCATTTGATGTTATGTTTTTCATTCTGCGATTCGTGCGTGATTTTTAGCGAATTTTTGAAAATAGCATTCAGTATTTTAGCATGGCTTCTCGCGGATTTGACGATACTTCGCGTTCTTCCGATGAAGAAGAAGAAATCTTTCCTGGTTTTTCTCTCAAAGTGGCTGAAATTCAACAGGAACGGCAGAGAAGGCTACAAGAAAAATCTGCGTGATGTTGATCGAGAAATCGGGTAGATCTTTGATTTCAGCAAGCGCTAGGGGGGAACAAACTCCGATGTCCATATTTTTGCTAGCAAAGAAGAAGACAACGATGAAGTAGATAGCGACAACGAAGATATGCCTTTGGGGTTCAATGGTCAAACACATTGAGTGAAATTGACATCGAAGAGTTTACCATAATTTCCTCATGGTCCAACGAAAGATCTGGGCGAGGGTGCAACATCGAAAGCTTTCCTTAATCTTTTCATCGACGATGGGAGAAAGCAAAGTGATAGACGCGCCTTCGAAACATATGCTTGTGAGTAATGCAGCGTTGCATTATGTCAGCAAATGCGTGGCAAACTCTCCAGCTTTTCAAAATAGCACGGAGGAAATTAACTCTTAAAAAACACTTAACCTTTGATCTTAAATTGTACCTTGTTTTTTTTCGTTCTTTGGAGCGCTGTATTAGGCCGTAAAGCCCAATTTCATTTCACCTTCACTTTGCGAGTCACGAACTGGTCAAAGATAAAAACAACTTTCTTTGTTTGGTATAATCTAAGCTTCGTTCGTAGTCTCTAACTGAAAGGGTTCTATTCAATCGATAGTTATTTCATTCTTCAGTCCTTCCATAGACAATTTTCTGCCAGGTCTGTGTAGGCTTAACTCGTAACTTCTAGTTTTTTTTACCTCGTGACGTTCATTGATGTCAGCACTGGCGGTAAATTCAAATTTGATCTGTGCAAGAAAACTTACAAATTTCACTCTCTTACCCGTGAGATGGCCTGTTTTAATGCAAAATTTTTTTGACTAATTCTTTTTGTTTGCATTTCTGCTGAGTTAACAGCAGCAATTGAAGTTGCATCACTGACAAAAACACCAATGTTTCTTTTCTCCTAGGAAATTTGGTAATATCAACTAAGTTGAAATTGTAAATTGGCCACTGTAAAGAGTTAAAAAGCTGACATTTCAAGCATTAGCCCTTCGTCATTTGCTCTGACAAAGGGCGAACGCTCGAAACATCAGCTTTTTAACTCTTTATGGTGGCCAATTTACAATTTCAACTTAGTTGAGATTACCAAATTACCTTGTTATCCCCACCAACACAGCACCACAGTTTCTTTAGAAACTTATCCCCTTTATTCATTTGTCTTTTCTCCTAGGTATAGGCCACCCTAACCTCCGGTTTTAATGACCCAGAGCTTTTACAAGCCACGAGCTAGAGGCCTATATGCCTGTTTTCCCTTCCCAATTTATGTAACAGTGTTCATTTGTTCATGCATGAAATTACTTGACATACATCTGGGTCAACATCTTTCAACATAATGATAACACAAGCATAACAAAAACAACCATCCCTATAGAGGTGACCAGCATTTTGTATTACAATACTTGAAACAAAATTTTTATTCTTATGGTACAGGAGAAAAAGTAAACTTCCAAAATGGGAGATAACAAAGATCTCTAACTATGAATGCACATAAAAAAATACCCTTCAATAACATTATATATTACGTACAATTAATGGTTTCTTTGCATGTGTAAGGGTACCATAATTTTACGGGCAAAATATTAAGAACAATTAACCAAGAGCCAGTGTTACTTGTTCAATTTTTAATAGTTCAAGAACTTATCACTTTGTTTCAATAAGGGGAAGTAACTCCTCTAATGGAAAAAAGACTGCACTGACTTCAAAAATATTTTTCAAATGAGAAAGGAATGTAAAGCTTCATAAAACACCAAAAATATTATTATTAACAAGGGTTATTCACAATAACAAACATATGAAACATATGAGTGAACTGCGGTTATGAGACGTATATAAGAACGATCCTTCGCAGTAAAGCACTATTTGAGCAATAGTGGAAATCAGACCTGAAAAAAATTTCAGGCCTGTACGGGATTCGAACCACTGACCTCTGCGATACTAGTGCAGCGCTCTACCAATTGAGCTAACAAGCCAACTGGGAGCAGGCCATCAAATTAATTCGATATAAACCCGTAGATGATAAATCGAACAACAACAAACATATGAAACATATGAGTGAACTGCGGTTATGAGACGTATATAAGAACGATCCTTCGCAGTAAAGCACTATTTGAGCAATAGTGGAAATCAGACCTGAAAAAAATTTCAGGCCTGTACGGGATTCGAACCACTGACCTCTGCGATACTAGTGCAGCGCTCTACCAATTGAGCTAACAAGCCAACTGGGAGCAGGCCATCAAATTAATTCGATATAAACCCGTAGATGATAAATCGAACAACAACAAACATATGAAACATATGAGTGAACTGCGGTTATGAGACGTATATAAGAACGATCCTTCGCAGTAAAGCACTATTTGAGCAATAGTGGAAATCAGACCTGAAAAAAATTTCAGGCCTGTACGGGATTCGAACCACTGACCTCTGCGATACTAGTGCAGCGCTCTACCAATTGAGCTAACAAGCCAACTGGGAGCAGGCCATCAAATTAATTCGATATAAACCCGTAGATGATAAATCGAACAACAACAAACATATGAAACATATGAGTGAACTGCGGTTATGAGACGTATATAAGAACGATCCTTCGCAGTAAAGCACTATTTGAGCAATAGTGGAAATCAGACCTGAAAAAAATTTCAGGCCTGTACGGGATTCGAACCACTGACCTCTGCGATACTAGTGCAGCGCTCTACCAATTGAGCTAACAAGCCAACTGGGAGCAGGCCATCAAATTAATTCGATATAAACCCGTAGATGATAAATCGAACAACAACAAACATATGAAACATATGAGTGAACTGCGGTTATGAGACGTATATAAGAACGATCCTTCGCAGTAAAGCACTATTTGAGCAATAGTGGAAATCAGACCTGAAAAAAATTTCAGGCCTGTACGGGATTCGAACCACTGACGATATTTTCTGCACTAGTATCGCAGAGGTCAGTGGTTCGAATCCCGTACAGGCCTGAAATTTTTTTCAGGTCTGATTTCCACTATTGCTCAAATAGTGCTTTACTGCGAAGGATCGTTCTTATATACGTCTCATAACCGCAGTTCACTCATATGTTTCATATGTTTGTTGTTGTTCGATTTATCATCTACGGGTTTATATCGAATTAATTTGATGGCCTGCTCCCAGTTGGCTTGTTAGCTCAATTGGTAGAGCGCTGCACTAGTATCGCAGAGGTCAGTGGTTCGAATCCCGTACAGGCCTGAAATTTTTTTCAGGTCTGATTTCCACTATTGCTCAAATAGTGCTTTACTGCGAAGGATCGTTCTTATATACGGTTATTCACAATATACATACAGACTGTCCCCAGAAGAAAAATATCACAAATCATTACACTACCAAGAATTTAGAAATCATCTTGACTTAAAACAGAATAAGTACAACATGTAAGTATTAATCTGGAAGGTTAAGTTTAAGGCCACAAGAACAAGGCAGAGTTTCATATTTCCTCCTTCCTTCCTCAAGTGGAGAAAATCTACCAGACCACCAATTTTTCTTTAGGGGATTAAGAGAGAAGAATTGTAACATTCCCCAGGAAAAACAAACTTTATAAACATAACCTGGATTGAAATCTCTTAATCAGATAAGAGCCTAATCAAGCTTTGCTCTGATCAGAGTTCATGCAACCTTTTTCAATACTAAAATATGTCCTCTACCTGTCACAGAATTTAACAATTTTCCACAGTTGACATATCCTTTAAAAAGGTATGCCAAGTTAACTGCTGTAATTGAACTTTTAAAAAATTCTTTAATAGGAATGCAACTCCAATTGTGATACTGGCACCAGTATATTACAAGGAAGTTTCATACACCACAAAAATGGGGCACACCAAGGCAAAAAAAAAAAAATCACATACTTTTAGATAGCCATGGACAACAGCTTAGGATTTTGTGAAGATATAAACATCAAAACAAGAAGGCTCAATAACAATTATAAAATGCAAAGATAGGAAGCGAAGAAGGGGTTATATTTCGACTAAAAGATAGATTGCCAATTTAAATGATCTCTCAACTAATCTTGAAAAAATGTCTTAATAATAATAATCAGTAATAATAATCCATAAGATTTAACTTTAACTTCTTAAGACTGCCATTCATCCAAAAACACGTACAGCATTAAAAAACTTTTCTAAGTTTCGTACTAATTCACAAGGCCAAATTAACAGTGTTATTAAAGAGTGTAAAGAAATCCCATAAAACAATGGATAAGTAGTAAAACATTCATTGGACCACAATTTAAGAAAAGGTCAAATGAAACATTAGGCTGAGCTATTGTCCATGACCATTAACAAAGCCTTCTTCAAAGCTCTCTTTATATGGGACCATAGACTATTCAAGAAAAGATATTGCACGTCGACAGATTTTCAACAAAAACCCCATGCCATTTACTTATGCTCAGGATTTTTACAGAAGAACAGCCCCTCATTAACAACACAGAGAAAAATAAAACTTGCTTTAGAGGACAATCCACACTAAAGAAATAATTAGTCCACAATTTCTCAGTTTTAACTCATTCCACAACTACTGTATTTTTGACAAACAAAGTAATCTTTCGGTTAGAAAGAAATTCACGAATAAAATATCTTCTCTGGGCAAATCTCTCAGTTTAAGTGTTTCCCTAAAAAATGGCACTGTCCTGCTTTACTCAGTCAATTTCAACAGGGGGCAAGAATAACAAAGAAAGCTTGGATTCCAGCAAGATCCGCAAGCTTTCTTTTAAAATGGTATTGAGTTCAAATACTGGATGCATGCAACAAATTCTTTATGGCATACTCATCACTTAAGAGATTGCTTCGCGAGACATTCAAGCTAGGCAACACTTGCGACCTTTAAGGTTCGCTAAAAGTAGGCTAACGCAAAATAATGATAGATAACTGTTTGCCCGCCGAAGTTCAATACTTAATGTATTTTTAATTGAGCATAGTTCATTAGTCTTTCCTTGTCGAACTTTAAAAGAAGAACTAACTTCAAAGAAGCATGCTATTTACAAAACATCGAAATCCAAGATGACAAGTTCTTCCAAAGCCAAGCAAAGACTAGGCTGGTAAAGAAATTACTGATTTTTTTTTTTTCTTTAAATCACCACAAAATAATCTGCAGCTATTGCGAGCAACTAAATAACACAAAGTCTACAACTTACCCCTTGAGTGGATCCACAGCAATCGCTCTTGGAAGACCCAAATTCTTCCAAAAAAGAACTTTACGGTAAGATCCATCAAAATTTGCAACTTCGATTCTGTTCGTTTCCCAGTCAGAATCTCTACAATCTGTCCAATACAACTTTTTTCCAACCCAATCTACGGCTAATCCTTCGGGCTTTTTCAAACCCACTGATACAACATCCTCAACTTTTCTTGAGTCAGGACTTCCCGTCATACTAATTCGTTTGATTTTCTCAACACTAACATCGGTCCAAAATATAAATCCATCTTCATAGCTGAAATCCACAGCGATAGCATCTAAAAGACCAACAACTACAATAGTTTCATTTGGGTTCTTTGGACTGGGTCGCACTATTCTGATGTCTCTCCGGTTAGCGTATAAAATCCTTGGAGAAGTCGCTGTGGAAAATAAAGAATTCTATAAGAAGCGCAGCTGACATGAAATTAGAACTAAAGAGTAAAATACCTGATTCGTCACAAGTAATTTCATGGAGACCAATCGAGGATAATCGAGTTATTAACTCCGTTTAGCGAAAGGAAACGTCCGGGAATATTTTGTTTTCATCGTAACGGCCAAAAGGGTTTACACCTGAAGAAATACGAGTGAAACATATCGCTTTCAACGGGCATAATCACTCTGTACTAATTCATCTCCAATGTTCTCCGAGGATTTGCTAAATGTTCTGTAAATAAACAGGATAATATAAGCTTACAACTTTTCATGCAAGACGCACGTAGCCAGAAACTGCTTCGGGTTACTAAATTAAATGTGTTACATTGCATATTTTAGTCCTGATCACCTCTGATCAAGGAGTATATCATTCCCTTTGATCAGTTTGAACAGGGGTGCAAGGGTTTAAGTAAAGACGACTGTAAACTTTGCCTAAAATGCTGCATACCAAACCAAACTCGAAGCGATCGAATCTCGCGTGGGGAGAACAGGTATTCTGCGAACACTTGAAACATTTATCTAAAGTTTAATTTCCTCACGCTAAGAAAATTATACTCAACGATGCCTCAAATAGAGCTTTTGCTCTCGTCCTACAGCATTCTCTCATCCTGAGCAGGTATTCGGAACATACAACGACCAAAAATATATTAAGATACCACGTGCAAATGAATTTATGAGAGCAATGTTGTTGTTATTATTAAGTTACTGGGAGAATTTGGGTTCGCTCTTTGCGGCTTCTACAGTTTTTCCATGCAAACGAATTGGTTTTTAAACCTTCAAACTATCATTCCAGGGAGGACAAGAAATGAGATCACCATCTGAAAGCAACTGTAGGTGAAGCCATCGAACAATCTCTGCACGTACTTCAATGTCCAATCAATAATGGCTCAAAATGGACGACAACTACGGGTGTAAATTACAAGTTTTTAAGCACTAAAGATCTATAAGAAAAAAACCAAATTCAACTGGTAATGGTCTACGAGTGTTTCTTTGTTCAAAGGACTAGCTTGTACTACATGAAAAGCGAATCCACATAACCAAGATAGAAATTTTGTCCGCCAAGCGAATCAATATCATCAGGGAGAAAAGAACACACTCGCATAGATACGCTTCGAACGCACTTACCTAAACATATCCTATAGTATACGCAAACCAAGCAAATTAATGCTTTGAATTTCATCCTACGCTATCGGTTCGGTAGCTTCACCATTAGAAACAGTGGTTGAGTACTCCAAGGGGTAAATCAAGCCACATATAACCATGAATTGATTTTCGAAGCAAACGCAAATCAAATCTACACAAATAATCTTCTACTAGTACTCGTAAGGCGAGTTCAATTGTTGGCTTACGAAATGCTTCCGACCAATTGCAACGCTCGTTTCGGCTCGGGTCACGTGAGCCGATCGTTCGCTATTGGCTCGTAGTTTGACATCGGGCTGGAAACGGGGGGTGTCATACGCACATGATTACCGGCACTCTGCCAAACGTTTAGAGCAAAGAATTGACAAGATAGAGGAAAGAGGCTTTCATTAAGGCGTTTAATAATCCTGAGCGCCTAAAGAACACAACCTGCTTGCAGCCAAACAAATCAACTCTTTGTTGTATTTCGATGGGACATCAACGTCACGTTCGCAAACTCTCTAGGAACAGCTATAAATAGTTGGTGCCATTGTTCTTGCTTGCACGTATCCTCTCGGGACAACAAAAAAACAATAATGATTTTCTGTAATATTAAAAAAATTAACATTTTCAACCGAGAAACTAACATTTGGCTCGCGGAATCCTTGCCAGATTACCAAAACCGCAACTTGTTCAAGCGCGGATCAAGGGGTTATTCAACAAGAATTCCGATAAAATCTGCAGTTTCAGAAGTTTAGCGCCTCTCTTTGGAATACATATTTACGCGCCAAAAATCGGGTCATCAACAAAGCAAATTGGATCTGTCAAACTATCGATTAAAACCCTAGCAATGTATAGCATGCCTTTGCCCTATATCACAAGGTCGGATATTATAGCTAAGAATCCAAAAGCCTATTGCGTTTGGAAAGTTGACATTACCGCATGTGCAAGCTTAGCTAGTAAGTAAAGGGGCGGGGAAACAGAAGTGTTTATACAAGAGTTTTTAAACCGCCCTCTAATTGTTCGCTAAAAAATCTTTGACGTTTTGAATAGAATCAACAATTTACGATGCTGGCATAAGCTATAACTGTAAACTGTGCTGTGAAAACAGTATTTGGCGAGGAGGCTATTACGAAATCTTTAATGATATTTTCTGATAATCAAATATCGACAGTCTTTTTTTGAGTGAACATCAACCACGTTTAACTTTTGATAAGTAAGGTGTTCCAGTTAGATGGGTAGTCTGGAATTAAGATCGATAAAACTAGAATTTTACGAAATGCAGGAAATTATAGGTGGTGCATCAATATTAATTCTCTGACCACACCTTAGAGACAAAATTAAAACGACGCGGACTGAACACGCTTTTGAGGAGACCAATTATACTTACATTTCTTTGTATTACATGAATGTCATTGTCCTAATTTTGAACAGGGATTATGATAAGCGATATCGTCGTAGCCATCAATTTTGCATATTACATTTGATGAAGATCGCTATCACGTCTACAACTCAAGAATAGACAAGATCACGCGCGCAATTATGAATTATATACCGTAAATTACAAGTGAAACAAACTCTAACGACTTTGAGGAACCAAATTTATAGTGTACTGAATGAGTATTTGAGGTAAAGTGTACACGAATTTTTTTCCAGTTACAGTATCCTAGAAGTAGTAAAGGTATAGAAGATTTAATCGCAGCCAAATGAGGTTCTTGTGATTCCTTGTATAGACTGGAATGTATATTTCGTTCGTTAAATCGACAGGCTTTCGATGGCCTTTCACGGACAAATACATTTCTTAAGTTTTGCTTTCTTTGAGGTGTTAAAAATGGACAAAACCGTTTATGATCTGCTATACTTAAGGTACCTAACTATCACTTCCCGCATTGAGTGATCTGTATTGTTCCTCAAGAAAAGTTCTATATTTGATTTCTAAGACACCATTAGCTCTACTCGCAACCGAACATTTAGCAACACTTAGACCTACATCAAATCAAATTCAACCAACGTTCTTCCATGTTTTAGGGTTACGTATAGCACTATGTGAGCCACTCAGTTTTTTTTAGTCACAACCTCATATCAACAAGAGATATTTTCGGGGGTGTTTCACGTTAAACTATATCAATTTAAGCTCCTTACGATTAGCGAGAAGGCGGAGTTTGCTCCAAATGCACAAATGAATAAATCCTCAACTGTAAATTCCTGGAAGCATAAAACCCTCAGAACCAGGATAATTTCACAGCTTTCAATCTTGTGATTTCGATATTTGCAAAACCCATCTTAACATAAATTTGTATCCCTGTTGATTACAGTTAAAACGAACGGGCTAAAATAGGTTGGAATGATGCCTTACGCTAAAATGCGAAGATATTTTTTCTATGTCACAAGACGCCGCGTAAAAGATCGTCCATTATGTGGTTTTATCATTTAAAGTAAAATTCTGAGGTAACATCGCTAGTTGGGTTTAATATCAGAGAGAATATCTAACCTTTATCGGGTAAAGTGTAGTGGTCTATTGTGATGAAATGTTCAATTTTTCTGCCCTTTACATATTTCTAAATATACAATGGCGTGCCGATGGGTCTGGAATTACTTTCTAATCCGGTTAAATAAAAGATTAGTCGGCCCTTAAATGGCACTTAAGTCTTGCTTGCCTCCAGTTTTAATGCAGTGATTATAAATCACATGAAAAGATTGTGAAATTCAAAGAATACTCAGGACACAACAATTCCGGTAGCGTAAGTCTGTGGGCTAAGATTCTTAAAGCATGCTAAGTGTTTGACGCACATCCTAATACTTAAAACAGGAAAAGGGAAATTTTTGTTTTGTTTCATTAATAAAAAACCATAATAGCTGTTAAATAAAGTAATTAAGAAAACCAATGACGAGTCCACGACAACGGGAAAATGGCGAAACAAAAGATTTCAAGAACAGAACAATAGTGCTGCACGTGCGTTTTAAACACTTTGTACATTTCCTTGCCGTTCTATGCAAAACAACAACGTGAAATCATGCACCAAATTTTGCCTACTCTGCGAGAGGCTGGAGCCCCCAACGGCAAAAATATTCAGACACGTTCATACTTCGAACTCAACGTTGCATTTTCATGTTATATTTGCTGAAGGAGAGATCTTGCGCCGTTAGAGAAGGTGAACACATCCAGCTACGCACGTAGTTCCCAGGAGAAACGAAATCAAATTTTTAAAACTCCCCATCGCTTCGCCAGCGTCACCGTCGTGAAATTGTAATTTTAAAAACTCCTGTCATAGATATGTAAAACTTTCCAGTATCGAGATGTGACTATAAGCATCAAGCAGTGATCAGACATTGCAGCACCCTAATTGAGAACAAGCTAATAGTTTTTACGGACTGTTTTTTCGAACGGATGTGAGGAAGAGAAGGGTGTCCGGGTGGGCGAGGATGTGGATGGTGATTGGGAGTGGCAGTGAGGCCCTCAGAGCGGAAGTCTACCGCAGAGACCATAATCTTGACCCCGACAAAAAAAAAAAAAGAGGACTGAAAATTCACTATAAGTTTTCATTTATTTGGCCTCATTATTGATAGGCGTAGTGTGCTTTGTGAGAGCATAATCAATGACATCGAGACAACGCCAAGTTACTGCCTCCGATATCGAGTTACTTGGTCACCGTCAACAATCACGCAGCATACAGCGCATGAGAGTCTTTTACGCCCCAATTTGTAAAACTGACAGTTTTAAGAACTCCTTCATCATCAGTTATATAGTATAAATTACACTACGAAGTAATTTTTAACATACATGTACCTCGGAACTTCTTTGTACCTTTTTAAATAAATGTTGTACTTTTTGTGACTTAGCTCATCTAATTCAGGCCACCAGGGAGTTGATTTTGAATAAAATATTTCTTCTTCTTTATTTCCTTTCATACTCATGTTGTAAAATGAATTCTTGAATTCCGTTAATAATACATTTAGTGACGCTATGAAGGTCATTAAAAGTATGCGATGATCCACAAAAAGCAAATAAACTTTTAATTATATCTGTGGGGTAAAAGTGATCGATGTATGGAATTTAACCGTACCACGTGGATTTAAACATGGCGTTTATTCATTTTTGTATATTCCCAGAATACAATTTGTAGAAAATATGGCAAAAGGCCTATCTTGTCTTGCCTTATGCTCTGATTATCAAAGCTTTGATACCCAAACTGCTGAAAGCACGCAGCGACGGTGATCATGCGATGAAGTTTTTTTTTTTTTCCGTTTGCCTTAAAAGTTCTGCTTACCTCAAATAGAACCGAAACCTTCTTGCTACATGTCCTATAACAAATACCTCACACACATACCGTATTTAATTCGACCGGAGGCCCTGGGGCGCTTACGAAATTTCAGTACTTTGCGAGACTAGAGAGGGCACTTATTCGAGGCTGGGCGCTTATTCACCAAATTTTCAGCGAGTAGTAAGTTTATTTTGGAACAAACAATAGATGATAAAGCTTGTACCACAGACAGCGAAGTTAGAGATTCTTAACCAGTAAAGAAACACTAATTCAATACTCCTCTTTAGTACTTTTCTATCGAAGGGTGGGGAGAGGGGAGGGAGGAGGAGGAGGACTGGTGGGGTGGGCGCTTATTCGAGGCTGGGCGCTTAATAAAGTTCATATGACTCTGAATTTTTTTCTCTTGTTTCTTGTAGTTGGATATCTATAGAAAAATTTTCGAAGCTTTAAAAGAGCTGGGAAAATGTAAAAAGCATTTTTTTTTTTTGCTTTCAAAACACGCGCAATTTGCCTTCAAATTTGTCCCGGAGACTGGGACCTAGTTTATCGCCGTAGAAGTTATTCATGACGTCACATTGTGTACCTTTGCCGCGAAGGTCTGTTGGCGCTAAGAGGATTCTGCAGTACTTCGTAGTAGATAGATAGGGCATTGAAAGGCAAAGATGTCCAGTGATTCTAATGATTCCTTTGAGTCCGACTCTTCTTAAAGTTCCATTGACTTCGAAGAATCTGGGTACACAATGTGACGTCACGTGCGATTTTGGCCGCGCGATGACCGGGACAAATTTGAAGGCAAATTACGCTTATTTTGAAAGCAAAAAAAAAAAAAATGCTTTTTAGACTTGTCCAGCACTTTTGAGGCTTCGAAACGTTTTCTATAGATATCCAACTACAAGAAACAAGAGAAAATAATTTCG